CAGGGATGGAGGTGACACAGGTGGCAGGCTCGGAGGGCAGGGGCAGACAGGGATGGAGATGGCAGGGTTGGGATGCAGTGGCAGGCAGGGATGGAGGCCCCAGCCCCGCTGCAGTTCAGCCTCTCGCCGCTCGGGGGCAGCCGTGCCCCGCAGTGTAACCCCGATAGCCGCGCGATCGGAAACGGGGTGAGAGGTGACAGAGGGACAGGGAGCAATAGCGGGGTCTGAGTTCCTTTACCGGACGGCTGTAAGAATCCATCCATTCCTTTCACACAGGTACACCCTTCACTGTGAGTGTCTTTAACCTGAATCTCGCTGCAGGCATTTCCTTGGTCTCCCTGTACACCTGCATTCCTAGGCTGGCAAACTTGCTGAGCCATATGCCAAAGTCTTCATGTATATCCCAGTGTCCTGTTCCTTGGTGGACATAGGATTTTCTGCTTTACAAGTCAGAAGTAGTGCCTTCCTACTACTCCACCATAGAAAGATAGAGGACACCGGCAAATTTTGGCCTGTTGGCTTGCTTTCAGGTGACTTAACAGCGTTGTTACCAGCTGATATTGACAGTGAATGTGAAGGTCTTTGTGAGTGCTCCACCTCTGCTCGGCACCAAAGTTGCATTAGCTTTGCAGATGGACTTTTGCCATTTTTCCCCCTCCATCTTACATAGTTTATTGTTACCTCCTTGCCCATTCACCACATTTTGATGTTTTGTTTATCTATGTCCTTCCTCTTTTTTGTTCAGACATTTTTGCTCACCTGGAAAGTCTTCTCTCTGCAGATACTTAAGATAATTGTAAAACACTTTTGCAGTTGCTGTAGGCCAAAGACCTTCTCTATTCTGATTGCCTGCTGTCTGGTGTTAAGTACTTACATCATCTCGTGTACTTCAGCTGTTTGTCCATATGGATTTGCTCCGACTTGAAGAGCTGACGGGTGGTAAAGGAAGGGAGAGGCGGGATCCCTGCAGGGAGTGCGCAGGAAGCCATATGTCGGTATTCCTGGGTATCTGGTGCCCTCTGGAGACTGTGGCTGCCCACGACATCATGAGTGTCAAGACACCACGCTAATTTATGTCCCTAGTCTGGGCAGACTGAAGAACAAGATGAGCTTTATTGTTTTTACAGCAGAAGTGGAGGATACTAGAAAAGATAGTAGAGTAAAAGCAAGAACTCTCTAAAAATAATAGCAATTGCATGTCTTGTGATTTTTAAAGCTGATGGAGACTTGATAGCTGGGTTTCATGTTTATGTGTAAAATTAAAATTGAGTACACAAGATTAAGCATAGATACTTGCAAATAGTATGGGCATTTTAAAGTGTTGAGTTAGCAAGGGAGATTAAATATTTATATTAATTCACTTAGCTGGTCTGAGAGGCCAGTCAGTCTAATGGGAAAACACAGAAGTCTCATAGCAAATCTGGAACTGCATTCAGGAATTTTTCACAGGCTTAGTAAAGAAGCTGGCTTTTTTGTTACTTTCTTCTTAGCCAAAATTGACTTTGGTACCTTTTTAATGCTTAATGAGGAGTATAAGAAATTGTGTCCTGATGCAGGGCAAGTGTTTGATGTGGTTTGGGACCTCCTTTTATTTCTACAAAGTAAACCACCTGGAACAGGGATGGACTTATAAAATTTTCCTTTACTATAATCTTACTCCTTTCATTTGGGGAAAAGACAGCTGCAAAATGATAATTTCCTTTAGCTCTTAATACTCTTGGAACAACCTTCCTGCATAATGAGAATACAAGAGTTTAATATTTTTCCCCAACTGCAGGGAAGAACACTGGGTGATCTGAGGAGGCACAAAACCTTAGTGTTACATTTGCATGCAGCTATTGTCAGAGTTCCAGTTAAGGCCCACCAAAATGCTGAGCTTCTGTACTGTTGTTTGTTTGTGACTGGATGGATGGATTTAACACAGGTGTCATGAGATCCTCAGAGTCCACATCACTTACATTGAATTAAGATTTTGCCTGAGCTGTGCCTCCTGCTATGGCTCATTCAGCTGAGGAGGGAGTGCATAGTGCATCTTCAAGGTCCAGCGGTGCCAGAGGTGGGAGCAGGAATTGAACTCCAGGCTGCTTACAGGAGGCATACTCGCCTAACTCCTTTATATCCTTGTTCAGAGGAGTTTAGACTTGAAGTAATAGTAGCTTGATATGAAATAAGTTCTCAAATGTAATACTTTCTTTAATGTTGGCTTTTTCATTTTAACAGTGTGGTAATTTTGTACCTTTAAAATTTATAGCCACAGACTGCCTCTGGTATTGCTAAGCTATGTGAAATGATTAAACAAGCTCAGTAAGGAATAATACTGCTGTGCATCTTGCTGGTGGGATTTGTGGTATTTGAGCAATGTGTATCACTTAATCTCTCATCCTTGCTTTCCTTCCTTTCCAAGAAGCTGATACAGTTGTCTCACTGCAGGCAGCATGCTGTGATTGCCTTGGTTTGCAGTGGTCATGGGCTTGTGGAGACCTACAGCACTCAGCTCCTGTTCTCTCAATATGATCGGGATGAGTTGGGTGTTTCCAGTTGGGCAACTTGTTCTTCTGTGGGCTTTGTGCAGTTGTTAAATACTTTGGATGGTGTGCAGCATTCATTTTCTTGTTTTTACAGCAGGAAGGTGAAATGGAAGGTGAGGCAGTCGACGCTATTGTGGAGGAATCAGAAACTTTCATTAAGGGAAAAGAGAGGAAAACCTATCAAAGACGCCGTGAAGGTGGGCAAGAGGATGATGCTTGTCATATACCACCAAACCAAGCAGATGGAAGTGAAGTGGTGCAGGATGTCAGCAGTGGGGTGCAGATGGTGATGATGGATCAGCTGGATCCAACTCTTCTTCAAATGAAGACCGAAGTAATGGAAGGTGCAGTGCCTCAAGAAACTGAGGCTACTGTGGATGACACACAGATCATAACACTTCAGGTTGTTAATATGGAAGAGCAACCTATAAACCTTGGTGAGCTTCAGCTGGTCCAAGTACCTGTACCAGTGACTGTACCTGTTGCCACCACATCTGTGGAAGAACTGCAGGGAGCTTATGAAAATGAGGTTTCCAAAGGAGGCCTGCAGGAGGGGGAGCCCATGATCTGTCACACCCTCCCTTTACCAGAAGGCTTCCAAGTCGTGAAAGTGGGTGCAAATGGTGAGGTGGAGACACTGGAACAAGGTGAACTTCAGCCACAGGAAGATCCCAATTGGCAAAAAGATCCAGATTATCAGCCACCAGCCAAAAAAACGAAGAAAAACAAAAAGAGTAAGCTTCGCTACACTGAGGAAGGCAAAGATGTGGATGTCTCTGTATATGATTTTGAAGAGGAGCAGCAGGAGGGTTTGTTGTCCGAGGTTAATGCAGAAAAAGTGGTGGGCAATATGAAGCCACCAAAACCAACAAAAATTAAAAAGAAAGGTAAGTTCTCCATCTGCAAATGGATTTTGAAAATGCTTTTGTTGTGGTGATTGAGGTGAACCAATATGTGCAAGTGAGAGGAGAGCAGACATGCCCAGTGCTGCTTGCTCACAATGTAATAGTGCTTGACTGCAGTGTTTCTTGGTCACACCTCCCTTCTCCTCTCTATAGGCTGATAGGGAGATCATTTTCCATAATTATACTGTGGCATTAATATTCTCATACAACTATGATTGAAAAGATTGTTCTCTTTGCTGTACTACACATGTAACAGTTTGTGTGCATGTGTTATATCAGGAGCCAATGGTATAATGAATTCTGTGGGCTTTTTCCTAACCAGTTGCTGGATAAGGTAGATGGTGCAAAATACAGTAATAAGTCTGTTTGATTTTTGTTAAAACTGTGAGTTTTTAGAGTGCAGAAGGAACATTAAGTGCTGGCATACCAGTGAAAATCGAATCCAAACCAGCCACAGGCAATGCAGTTGGATTTAGTGGTGCATGCCTTGCAGTAGTTAAGTAGTAGTTCCAAGAATCTTTCCCCTTATACACAGTAGACAGCAGTACTGTCAAAGACTAAAGGTGCTTTCCTTCATGGCCAGGTGTAAAGAAGACATTCCAGTGCGAACTGTGCAGTTACACTTGTCCGCGTCGTTCCAACTTGGACCGCCACATGAAAAGCCACACCGATGAAAGACCACACAAGTGCCATCTCTGTGGCAGGGCTTTCCGGACAGTCACATTGCTGAGGAACCACCTCAACACTCACACAGGTGCTCTGGTTTTGCATACATTGTTTTTGTAGAATCTGCTCTGCTATCAGAGCAAATAGATTGAAGATAGACCCTTCTTGTATTTCTACTTCCTCTTACGGAACAAGCTAGAAAAGAGGAAATGATGTAGTTGTTTTTTGCCTGGCCAGGTCAGGTGCAGAGCTTATCCTGTTCAAAAGTACAAAATTGATCCTGGGCTTGATCTCAAGTTACCTGAAGTTAAAGAAATGTCCTCTTTGCCTTGGGTATAAGCACTCGTGTTTTCAGCTTGTTGTGCCTTACTGCCAAAAAAGAGCGTAGTTCATAATACCTCATTTTTTCTGCTTACTGAAGTTATGTCTAACTAACTGGTTTCTAATGTGTAAACAACCAAGCGGTACAAAAATAAAGGAGTCTGTTTCCTCACTGAAAGGATATTAATTTCTAAGATCTCAAATCTATTAGTTATTTATACAAAACCTCTGACTTATGTGCATTCTGTTGCTCTAATTTAATTTTTCAAAACATGAAAGCAGTGTTGCTAATTCACTTTAAAAGCAAAAAATAAAACATCCACAACCAGCGCTGTCCCATATTTTCTTGTCACTAAATCTGTGTGTCACTGTCTTCCTGTGTTGCTGCACACCTTTAGGTACTCGCCCTCACAAGTGCCCAGACTGCGACATGGCCTTTGTGACCAGTGGAGAGTTGGTTCGGCATCGCCGCTACAAACACACCCACGAGAAACCATTCAAATGTTCCATGTGTGACTATGCCAGTGTGGAGGTATGGGACTTGTTACAGTGCTGAATGCTTCCTTGTGTGCTTCAAAGCTTGTTCACCATCTGTTACAAACTCTGTTCTTAGGCATTTCCTCTTTGGCCATTTGGTTGAAAGGCTCTGGGCAAAATAAGTTATAACTCAGGGCTGCTCTTGGAAGCAAATGGTGGAGCTTCCTCAGTGAATCAGAAAGCAGTTTGAGATCACTTACAGAACTTCTGGGTGATACCTATTTCCTCTCTGGGGTCAGTAGTTGTCACAGTTTCTTAAATGACTTGTCCTTTAAGCTGATTGCAGGAATTGTAGTGTGCTTCGTGTTGAAGGAGACAGACATTTCCTGCTGCAGTGGGATGTCCTTTCAGTCTAGTGTCCTCCCATTTTAGAAATGTGCATTCTGCACGTTATCTGTTTATGCCACGAAGACGTCTGTAGCTAAAACTAATGAGCCTTTGTCTCAGTATTGATGAGAAGCAGCTTTGCTAATGTTAGATGATAGCTTAATTTGCCTGAACAGATAAGACATTCTTGAATGCCTTCCCTCCATGCAGTATTGTTAGATATTTTATAGGACAGCTTTTATATTGTGAAAGGAAACTTGAGCCAGATGATGAGCAACATAATTTTTTAAAAAGTGAAATGTCTGCAGTGGAAGAAGGCTACAGTGGGAGAGCTTGAGTAGGGGCTTCAGGGTTTTTTTCCTGCCCACGCTATGCCTGCAGTGCTGTCACTTCAGGTCCTGTGGTTTGAGTTCTGAATAAGTTATGTTGCAGAGGTTTTATAGTATAAATTAGGAAAGAATAACCAAGTTAGTCCTTATGAGGTCATGCTGCGTTTTGTAGGCATAAGTTGGTGATTAAGCAGCGTGATCAGGCTGGAATAGAAAATGCCATACTGTTGGTGTTCTTGCTTTGAGCTGGGTTTGTACCTTCTAAATAAATGCAGGAGTAGAAAAGAATTAAGCTTCCCCATGCTGTTTCCCCGCACTACTTCCCTGTGTCTCTCCAGGATATTTTAAAATGTTAGGGTGCCTCTAGATGCTGAGATGGTCAATAACAGTAGGGTGAACACAGAGTCTAAATCATTGAGTGTGGGAACAAGCATCAGGCAAGACTGGGAGTGAAGGTGGGAAGTGAGGTAGAGTGGGCAGGAGCAAGTGGCTTGTGTGCAATGGGAAAATGGCACTGAAATGTGCTTGTTTGGTTTTATGCCTAAGTAAATATAAACTGCCTTAAACTCTTGTAGTTTTGGCAGTCTGGCCTGCTCATCTTGCTGACTTCAGTCTTGCTCTTGGCTTCCAGGTTAGCAAATTGAAACGCCACATCCGTTCACACACCGGAGAGCGCCCGTTCCAGTGCAGCCTGTGCAGCTATGCCAGCAGAGACACCTACAAACTGAAGAGGCACATGAGGACCCACTCTGGTACTGATGCCATATTCTCTTAGTGTCAGAGTGCTGAGGCTGCAGTATCTGCTGTACAGCAAACAAATACTGTGGTGTAGTTTAATACAAAACCTTTATAAAGTGTGTAGCTGAAGAGAGTGCAGCATATTTTGTAAGCAGTTGTCAATTTATAGCCTGATTAAATTACTGCACTGAGAAATGAGCTTGGAGGATTCTGTTTTCTAGCTTGACTGTGAGGTGATAAAATGTAGGCACCTCTAGTATGAACAGAAGAAACTTCTTCTGTTTGCAGTGTTCCAGTTGAAGAGTAGAGCCATTTGCAGTTTCATGCTCCGGTGCATTTTTAATAGCGTCTCATGCATGCTAGTTCATAAAGATGCTATTTTTTTCTTCAATATAAATAGGGATGATTTTAGCACAGAGTGTTACTGCAGTGCCAAATTAATCATATTGCTAAAATTGAAGGGGGGAAAGATGCCCTTTTTTGTATACATGAACATTCACAACCTCCACCCCAAAAAAATCTGATGTCACTTGCTCTCTTCTGACAGCCTGCATGTAGGTCTTGCCTGCATTTCTCAGAGTAAGAATAATGTAACTTCCTTAAGGATTGAACTTTAGTTTCTTTGTAGAAAGATGTTTACTGGAGCTATAACTTGCAGAAAAAGATGTTATTGAGTGCTTTGTAGGATTACAATATCTATTGTCTAGCTATGTATTGCAAGTTTCTGGGAGGTTGTTTGGGGCTTCTTGATGAGATTTCTTTTAATAAAAGTACTTGTTCTATTTATTTCATTTTACTCCTGAAGGAGAGAAGCCATATGAATGTTACATCTGCCACGCTCGCTTCACTCAGAGCGGTACCATGAAGATGCACATTTTGCAGAAGCACACGGAGAATGTGGCCAAATTCCACTGCCCTCACTGTGATACTGTTATAGCGAGAAAGAGTGACCTGGGTATGTGTCTCCCAAACGTGGCCATTTGCTGAAGATGGTACAAAACTCCCCAGAATCAGAGTTCACATAACCCAGCTGCTGTCTCTTAACCCAATACCCAGTCTGCTAACTGCACAGCATGAAGCACAGCTTCACATCTGGAGCTGGTAGCACACACCTTTAGCTTACCATAGCTGCTGCAAATTTAGGAAATTTTTCAGTTTCTTCTCATTATTTGATTTCTTTTATTTCCAAGCATACAAGGTAAATTACTGTTTGCCCATAGATGCAAGGCATTTATTGAACTTGGACTGAGATTTCAATAGCGTAAGGATTGGGATCTGAAAAGCAAGAAGATCACTTAACTTACCCTTCTGCACATTGGAGGCCATTAAGTTTCATGCAGAGATATTTTCATCAAATTAAAAGGTTTGAATTAGACCAAACATTTAACTTTCCAGGATTTGGAGCTGTGTGCTCAAAAAAAACCCGAATCCTTGCAGTAGGACATTCCTGATCTAGTGAGCAGTACCCAGTGTGATTCCAGCAGGCAAGCTCTTATGTTTTTGAAGGTGACAAACAATATTGTGCCCAGAGCAGCTGAGGGGAAGGAAGGAGCCACGATTTGGCAGAACTTTCTGTCTTTAAACAGAATTATCACCAAAGTAATGGGAACACAGGCTTTCTTCCAGTAAAGACAAGTGCTACAGTGAGAGGCAGTTTGAGAGGAAGGCAGTCAGTTGATGTCAGGAGCAAACAAGCTGATTTACAACAGAGGAAAACTGATGTTAGCTATGAAGAATTTTTCTTCTAATAATGCTTTAATCTACACTAAGCTGCCCCGTGCAGCTGTGGTATGCTCTTAGTTGGAGGATTTTAAAGAAGTGACTAAAACCTCTGTTGGGGATTATCTGCTGGTATCCCTGTTGCCTTCTAGTCCTGTCACTCTGACTTCTAATCCTGCAGAAAATCCTGTTTCCCCCCACTGAATTACCTGGCTTCTGCCTGTATCCAGGCAATTCAAGTCAGTCTTAGACATAACAGTCCACAAAGACACTTTAGTTAGACAGTCATGTGTCATCAAATTTAAGTATCCTGAATCAGCACAGATTTCAACTAATAACCAAATCTGGAATCCTGTGGAAAATCTTAATGGAGTTTTTCTGCAAGCTCTTTCTGTTTAGAAATGGTTCTAGTTGGTTTTACTTGCGAGTCCTTCAGGTTTTTAGTTAAATCCTAAATTAACTATTCCACTGTTTTGGCTGAGCTTGGGAGGAAGGATCACTGAAGGATTGTGGGGTCCTCTTTTATACTTGGAAAGGCATGGTGGTGAAAGCTTTTGATTCTTTTTCCTGTAGGTGTCCACTTGCGGAAGCAGCATTCCTACATTGAGCAGGGCAAGAAGTGTCGCTACTGTGATGCTGTGTTCCATGAGAGGTATGCCCTCATCCAGCATCAAAAGTCCCACAAGAATGAGAAGCGCTTCAAGTGTGACCAGTGTGATTATGCCTGCAGACAGGTAAGCTGGGGGCACTGGCACTCCTTAGGAGTGTTAAGACAGGAGCTGAAAGTACAGGATAAAAATCTTAGCTGTTGATCTTGACCAGCTGTCAAGATCAAATTAGCTGTCTTAAATTTTTGAAGGGTATAAAGGAGAGTACAAATGGCCTTTTCTTGGTGTAATTCTGTCCTGTAGAGAATAACCTTCTAATTCACAACCTTGATGGTACCCATTGACCAAGGGATAAGAGTCCATACAGGATAGAAGTAACTAGGACTGAATATGCCGTCAATCAAGATGTTCTTGCATTGCTTTAGAATCATTCTTTTCCTGATATTAACCATAAAATGTTGGCCTCGTTTTAGCTGAAAATTCGCTTTTCTGTATCCATTTACTTGAGTTTCCATTTTTCCTGTCCTTGCCAGGAGCGGCACATGGTCATGCACAAACGGACCCATACTGGAGAAAAGCCTTATGCCTGTAGCCATTGTGATAAAACCTTCCGCCAGAAGCAGCTCCTCGACATGCACTTCAAGAGATACCACGATCCCAACTTTGTCCCTGCTGCCTTTGTCTGCTCCAAGTGTGGCAAAACATTCACTCGCAGGGTAAGGGAGAATGCTTTCAGTTGGGGAGGGTTGAGGTGAAATGAGGCTTTGTTAGCCAAGGGGAGGGAAATCTACCCAGAAGGAAAGATGGGTGAGGTACAGGGTAAAGTATGAATCTTTTAATAGAGCCCTTCTCTCTGAGAGGAAAAGAGAGGAGAGAACTCAGAATTGGTACAAACACATATTAGTGTTGATCTCATGAGCAACGTGGAAATGCAACTTTATTCATAAAATTAATCAATGTACGCATTCCCCCTAAAGAATCTCTTTAAAAAAAAGCAAAAGACATGGTTACCAGAAATGTATTTGAAAATACAGAGTCAGAATGTCTGATCTTGAATGCAAAGCATGTTTTAATTTTTCTTGTGTTTTTAATCTTTCACTGAGTAGAACACAATGGCCAGACATGCTGATAACTGCTCTGGCCTAGACGGTGGGGAAGGAGAGAATGGAGGAGAGACAAAGAAAGGCAAACGTGGCCGAAAGAGAAAGATGCGTTCTAAGAAAGAAGATTCTTCTGATAGTGGTAAGAACAGCTCAGTACCTTCTGAGAATTACAGGTCTGTGATTCACTCTGTGTTAGCTGCTGGTTTGCCAGTTCTGCAGGTTTCTTCTGGCACTTGGAAGAGTCTTGTCTGGTTGGCAAACACAGAATATGGTGATACATGGCCAAGTACAGAGGGATGTACTGCCTGTGAGGGGTAATGTAGATCCTGCTGTCCCAGGCCTGTTCCAAGACAGTAGTTTAAAAAACAGTCTGACACCCTGTGTGTCAGCTGTGCCATTCCTGACCTGCCTGTGTGGGAAACTCTGGTAATTTTTTTTCAGAGTCTCAAAAGAGGCTGCATGGTTCTGCAGTGCATTGCTATGAAAGGTTACTTGATCCTTCTTCACCATTACTGGGTGGCCTGTCCAGACAACTCCACCACTGAATAGTTTGGCTCCACTTCTGTGGAGGAAGGCTGGCAAGGGAATGGTGGAGATGAAACTATATATGAAAGAAAAACTCAGTCCTAGTCCTGTATCATGGTAGAGGAAAAACTGCATCATGTCTTCAACAGGAAGAGCCAACTAGAGTCTCAAGACCAACCAGTTCAAAAATGATTTTGCAAAAGGAGTGTTGCTGATTAGTCTTTTATCTGGAGTGCTTTATGTAATTAATCAAGGGGTGTAGGTTGGGAGAACAGGGATATTTCTGGCTAGACAACGTATATCTGAAAATCTTGCATGGCAAACAAATTTTAGGATGAGTATGATCAACTGATTTGCAAACCTTGATTCAAAAACTATAAAAATTGATGCTTAAAACTCATGTTTGTATAGATACTTGGAAAAATATATTAGGTGAATTAAGCACATGTAATTAATTGTGTGTTTGAAACATTAAAAGATCATGAAGGCAGGGTAAAATAATTGATGGAAGGTAATTCAAAATGTGACATTCTGGTGTATTGCATTCTTAGTATCTGATTTGAAATCTTCCTGGGAGTTCAACCTGTTCTGAAAACTCACATTTTATTTAGTTGGTTTGGTCTGGGTTTAAAGCAGTTTTTTAGGAGGAAGCTTGTCAAAAGTCAGGCTTGTTAATGAGCTGATGATATGCAGCGAATGATGCCCGGGCTCTGTGCTGAGGGAATCCCTTCAGCTTCAGTGGAAGTGACAAGTGTGGGTTGACCTCAGGGGTCATTTGATAGATAGGAAGAATTGACCAGTGAGAGCTGAGTAGCTGTAAGAAAGATGTGCTAATCACTTGCTTGAGGAATTGCATTATTCACTGTTGTGTCTATTTGGAGATCTGCAGTTTCATGGGGTTTGGCAACTACTAAATACCTAAAAATTACTAGCAAAGCTGGGATGAAATAGACTTATTTGTGTTAATGGGGGGAAGACCAAATATCGGATGATGGTTTTGTCTCCTGGCTGCCCAGCATTAGACAGAATGTTAATTGATAGACATGGAGTTGAGGGGAGAATGTAAAGAATCTCTGAAAAGGTGGGACCTGAGAAATCCAGTAAATAAATTGCTCATGAGGGATATCCCTTGAGTGACTGCTAAATCGTGCAGCATCTGCATGGCTCAGTGTGGGTTGGGGTTTTTCCCATTAGTCAGATAAAGGAAGTGTCCTTGTGGCCCATGCATTCTTGAGTAAAGCTTCTCTAGTGAACAGCCTTACAAATTTAAGGGCAATCATTTTGGTGTCCAAACAATATTATCCTCTTTGACATATCTCACTGTTTTTTGTCTGCTCTGGTTTTGCCCAGAGCGTTCTGAATGTGTTGATGGTCCTCAGCTATTAACTTTAAGGAGTGTTCTGAAGAATAAAGTGTAGAGCTTGAGGGGTAGGAGATTGGCTCTTGGATGCCTGTTGGGTTCTTGTCTTTCACAGAGATCCTGCAGTGTCTGCTACAGTAATTTTCATGGGATGTTACCTCCTTTATCTTCTTGTCCCTCTATTTTCCCCACACTTTTGAAATCACCCGATCCCCTCCCCTAAACATCCTATAAATAGCCCTTTGTGATCCAAAATGTGCTTTTTCCTGCATCCCATTGTGTCTCAGCCAGGAATTCCCCAGCACCCCATAGTATCAAAGGTGATCTCAAGAGCTGCTTCCTGTGACTCATTGGGATGGGTTTCACACATGGTGGCTCTTCTGGGAGTGTCCTGGACAAGAAGTTTGTTCCTCAGAAGTTGTGAATTTGGGTTCCCACTTTCCATTGTGTAATGCTGTGCTCCTCTGTGTTGTGCAGGTGGGACTTGGATGGGCTGTTGGACTGTCTGATGGGCGTGGGAGTAGCCCAGCCATGTGTTACTTGGTGTCTCTTGTGGTGTTGTCTCTGAGCTCCTTTGTGCATGTGCAGAGTAGCTTTTACAACGTAATCAACATAATTAAATTGCTTTTTGCTTTCTGAAGAACAGCTTTTTCCCTCTAAGTGAGGGTAACAGATTAACAATCTGTGGCAACAGCTTCTGAACAAAGGCCTTACTTGCCTTCTTTCTCAGCAGAGTTGACTGCTTCAAATCCATCCCTTTTGGGTGGGATTTGATGGTGCTTCTCTGCAGATGGATGTGTTTTATTCCTGTTTAAACTGAAGATTTATCTGGCATCCTTTCTTGCAGAGGAAAATGCTGAACCAGATTTGGATGATAATGAAGATGAGGAGGAGACAGCGGTAGAAATTGAGGCTGAACCAGAAGTTGAGCAAGAGGCTCCTGCACCACCTCCCAGTAAGAAAAGAAGAGGAAGACCACCAGGCAAAGCTGCCACTCAACCAAAACAATCCCAGCGTAAGTCACTAATTGAAGCTTACCTTAACCTGCTTGTTTGAGCACCTTTTTCTTTGGATTCGGCTGTTCTTGTAGATGTGATCCCTTTCAAATGAGATTATTTTCAAAGTAGGCAACTGTCTCTATATTGCTAAGAGCTCACTTCGACATTTGTTGCAAGGGTTTCCTGGTCGAGGGAACATGACCGCTTCAGGCCATGTTAGAAAAGAAAGGCTGTTATTTTTTATTTAGTATTGTTTCATGTCATGGTTATGCAAACTGCTCACTTTTTTGTACCAATTATGGTATCTCTGCTGACATGGAATCCTTCGGAAAACGGCTGTCAGTAAAAACATCATGGTGTTCTTACCCTGCTAGTTTTTGCAGGTATTGCTACAAATGAACTTGCTTGGAGTTGTGTCAACTCCACAGGGATGTGGTTAAGAATAGACATTGTAACTCTGCAAAATTCAAGTAAATAAATTTTAGGGTCAAAGTAGGACAGAAAATTAGTTCCTTTAAGGAGGTGGTGGCTTCCTCAGTGGCTTGGCTGTCTGCTCAGTGCTACAAAGTGTGGCCTGTTTTCTCTCTGGAGTTATTCTGTGGAAACATTTACTGCTGAATTTGTCATCACTAAATTTTCCTGAAGTTTAATTTTTGCCTTAGGCCCATATATTGATACGGGGTTTGGTTTCGTTCATTTTTTTGAACAATGGATTTTGTAAAATAATGTGTTAGCATGAAAATGCACGCTGGAACTGTACTGTGAGCCCATCTTCATAGAGGGGCAAGAAAGTAGATGCTTGATGCTTAGATGAGTGAGGTGGGATTAATTGCTCTCCTGATGTGGCAGTGCTTGCTGTGGGCCTCGCCTTCCCTTGCTATGGAATAGTCTTAAGGATCTACCAAAGAGCTTCTTGAGGCTTGCAGGCTGGCTCTGGATACAGTAAAATAATCTGTTTCTACCCCCTTCCTCCTTTGTTTTTGCCCTTCCAGCTGCAGCAATCATTCAGGTTGAAGACCAGAACACTGGTGAAATTGAAAATATTATAGTTGAAGTGAAGAAAGAACCTGATGCAGAAACAGCAGAGGAAGAGGAGGAAGCTCAGCCTGCTGTAGTGGAAGCTCCCAATGGAGACCTCACCCCTGAGATGATTCTCAGCATGATGGACCGGTGATGGAGGAAGACCACGTTGGCTGACTGAACTGGCCTGGGCTGTGTTTAAGCGGCTCAAATCTATTTTTTTCCTTTAATCTTTTTTCTTGGCTTTGGGAAATGCATCATTTTAGACCATTTTACCAAACATACTGGGAGATAAAACGATGTTAGAATGTGATTTAACTAGAACTTGCTGTTTTATGTTAGCATTACAGGATCATGGAACATTAGGAAATATTTTGGAGTCCTTGAGGGTTTCCTCTGAAATGCTTGATTTAGTTTTGCTCTAAACCGCATTGTAAAGCTGGTCCAAGGGCCGTGTTTACATGCACAAAGTTTTAATATACAAAAGTGGAAGCCTTGACTAGAGTATGTGGAAAACCACTCCGGACTTGCCCTTCCAGTTCCCAGAGTCCTTGAGCCTCTTCTCTCAGTAGTGTTTTTAACTGTAAATGCAGACTTGGGAGGGTTCTAGACTTTTGAAATGTTTTTTTGGTTGGTTTTTTGTTTTTTGTTTTTGCTTTCTCCCACTGAGTAGCTCCGGTTCTCCAAGTCGGCTGCACATGGTAGTTTTGGCATGCTCCAACTGGTTTCTGTCCTTAATATGCTTTGCTTTCTGCAAAGCATTTCTGTAATGGTCAAGCTTGTAAATAACTTTTTTTTTTTACATTTTAATCTTTTTCCATTAATTAAGAGGTATGCAAAAATGCAGTTTAAAGATACCCCGGTATTCTAATTCCTTTCAAACTAAGTGACAAGAGAATTGATAGAGTGTAAATGTTGGAAAAGCTGTTGATAAGGTAGAGAAAAGATGTACCCTGACTATTGCTTGCAGAACAAGAGAAACCCACATGTGAAATCTGGTTTTGAAGCACAAAAAATTGTATTTGATAGAATCTTAGACTGGCTTGGGTTAGAAGGCACTTACAGGCCATTAGTTCTGTAGTGAACTTTCACTAGACCAGCTTCCACCAAGCCCTGTCCAACCTGGCCTTGAACGCTTCCAGGGATGGAGCAGCAACAATTTCTCTGGACAACCTGAGCCAGGGCCTCACCACGCTCATAAGGAAGAATTTCTTCCTAATAGCCCATCTAACCCTGACCTCTGTCAGTTTAAAGCCATTCCCTGTTGTCCTGTCTCTCCATTCCCTTGCCAAAAGTCCCTCTCCAGCTCTCTTGCAGGCTCCCGTCAGGTTCTGTAAGGCCACAATTAGGTCATCCCGAAACCTCTTCTCCAAGCTGAATAACTCCAGCTCTCTCAGTCTCTCCTCATAGGAATGGTGCTCCATCCCTCAAGTCGTGTTTGTGGCCTCCTCTGGACTCGCTCTGACGGTTCGATGTCCTTGTCCTAGGGATCCCAGAGCTGGATGCAGCACTGCAGGTGGGCTCTCACCTGAGTGGAGCAGAGGGGCAGAATTTCCCCTTCCTGCTGCCCCAGGGCTCTGTATGCAGCCCAGCACACACAGCTGGCTGGAGCACGTCCAGTCTCACCCACCAGCTCCCCCAAGTCCTTTTCCCCAGGACTGCTCTGGATCTGTTCATTCCCAGCCTGAATTCATCCCAAGGGTTGCCCTGAGCCAGGTGCACCACCTGGGTCTTGTTAAGCCTCATGAGATTCTCACGGGACACTTCCTGAGCTTGTCCAGGTCCCTCTGGATGGCCCTGTCCTTCAGGTGTGTCACTGCACCCTAAGCTTGGTGTTACCAAACCCGCTGAGGGTGTACTCCATCCCTTCATCTATGCTGTTAATGATGATACTAAATAACACTGGTCCCAGTGTGGACCCCTGAGGGGCACCAGTCAGTGCTGTCCATCTGGAGTCTGAGCCATTGACCACTGCCCTGTGGATGTGACCATCCAACCAATTTGAAACATATAATTAACCTTTTTGAGTTATAATTTCACGAATACATTTTCTTTGCTCTATCTTGTAGTTGTATTTTGTGTTTATGAATCCTATGTTAAGACAAAAGTGGTGATTTATAAGTGGGTCACTGCAGCCCTCAACCTGGGCCAGGAAATTTTATTAATAGGTCAGTAATTCTACAATTTTTGAATCTCTGATAAAGAAAAAAAAAGGAATAATGTGAAATACAAATGATGCCTGTATATGAAAATGTCACATGTTAAAATATGTAAGCTTTTTATAGAGCCTCAGTCTTGCTGATTTCAAACAAATTTTTCTTCTATGTATCGCTTTTAAGAGAGCTATCAGTTTAGCTATCAGACTCTAGGTTGATGCATTTTTGTACTTAGCTGTACTGTGTGATATTTTTCATTATTTTAGGAAGCCAACATGGGGAAAAAATACTGTTATAAAATATGTAATGGGGTTTGAAAGCTGGGAAGGAGAATATACTGCTGTACAGCTAATAAATAATAACGGATTAACACGTGTGCTCACTGACTGCTTTCTTTGTGTACATCAACGGTGCGACCTGGCAGCCATCTCCAGATGGAAAAGCTGCTCTTCCCAGAAGGATGCTGTCAACAGGGACCAGCTCCTTTCTCGCTGCAGGTGTTCCTTCTGCCCCATGCCAAATGCAAGGTACCTGTCCATGACCTTAAATCAGGGTGTGCTTCCCTCTGTGTAGAGGAGGGAGAATGTAAAATGCAAATGTTGGCATTCACACCTTCAGCTTGGAGTAACATGGGAGTAGTTGTTACTTCTGTTTGTTTTGACTGTGATTTTAAATGCTTATAGCTGATGGTTTAGTTAACAGGAATATTGTTTCCATTTCATTCTGAAAAATGGGACTGATACTTGTGTGGAGTTTCTGTGGCTTTTTTAGTTACCTATGACAGCAGCTTAGGGTGCCAGCTGTGGGCAGTCACTGCAGGTTAAGGATAGAACCTCCTACTGCTAGTACAGGAATCACTCCAAATGACACTACTTAGGAGACTGTAACCAAGCACAAGAGTTGCTAGTACTGGTTTTCACTAGGTGTTTGGTGATGCCTTATGTCTTGAGAGATGGACCTTCTATGACTTGCCAAGGAAAGCCTGTCTGGAGGTGGAAGCTTGGAGCCCTGAGCAGGCTGGAGGCTTTTGTTGCAGCAGGTGGGAGAGGTTGTGTTTCTGTGAGAAGTCAGGTCTGGCTGAGAAATGGGTAAATCCTCAAGTGCTTTCCCAGCTGGGCAAGGAGTTTGTGTACTCAGAAGCCAAAGATGTCTGATGCAGTGCTGAGGTGGTTTTACAATTTTTTTTTGCACTTTTTGGTGAGTGGAAAAATCAAAAGTGTCCTTGGGATCTGTAAGAACCATCATCTTTTAAATGCTGTGGCTCAACCTGGTGCTGGTAAGTGGGGTGTGAAGGGTGGTGCAGTGGCTTTGTTTGAGATGGTGGCCCAAGGAGGTGCCACACATGCTCCAGCAGAGACCTCCCTTGGTCTGTGCAAGTGTTCCATGTGCAGCAGCTCGTGCTATTGTACCCAGGCCTGGGTGACACCAAACCAGGTGCTGCAGCTCTCCTGGAATTCAGAAGAGCTGGGGGAGGTGGCCGTGTGTGAACAGATTAATGGGAGTGTGAAAGGAAGAGAGCCTGAGAGGTGTATTTGTCCAAAGAGCACAGGTGTGGTTGGTCCCGAGTGGCCTCTGTAGTGTTCATCTGAGGAAATGCCATTCCATGAAAAGTTGTGGGCTGTGACCGTGTGCTGATTTCATGCTCTGTCCTTTAAGCCCTTCATGTGCCCACCACTGAGGTGGCACTGCTGGTGGCTTGGCCATGACAGCTCAGCCAGGGGTGGGTGGCGCTGGGGGTGGAGCAAGGCACAGCCTCACCTTTAGCCACGCCTGACCGGCCCCTCCCAGGACACAGGCACTGGAAATCCAAGAGCTTGTGAAACATGTGACATCCAGTCTGACAGGTCCCTGCCACAGGTACCATCACTGCTGTGATGTCCCTGTAATTGCCTCTCCTAGTACCAGTGTCCCTGGAGCTGTAAGTTCGGCAGCTCTCTGAAGCCTTAGCCTAAGGCACATGGCAGCTTGTCTCTGGGGCTGAGGTGCCCGTTCCTATGGGGGGTCCAGATGAGAAGGTGTAGGAACAGCAATGCTGGGGCCTTTCCATAATCACATTGGCCAGCCTCTTCCAGTGCCAGTGTTCCTGGAGCTCTGGGCTCTGTCTCTCTCAACCCTAACCCTAAATGTAACCCTAGCCCTTAATCCAGATAAGAAAAGCAATTTCTGAGCAACTTTTTCCTTGTGATCTGATTCTAGAACTTTCTTCCCAGTAGAGGTTTAGTGAAGATAGAAACTGTCACCCTGTGGCCACCCTCCTTTTTTTCCCCAGCCTGGCGTGTTACCTTGTGATCTGCTCAGTTGACCTGGTTTCTCTGTGCTTGCTCAAGCAATAGTCCTATTACACAGACTGGGTTTTATTTGATTTGAGCTCAGGCTCCTGGCTTGGGCAGGGATCCCTGCTTGTGCCTCTTGCAGGCTTCTGGTTTGCCCTTGGAAGAGCTATTCTGGAGAGATGCAGAGCAATATCCCAGCCTGTAGCCAAGGGCACGAATTCAGGGCAGCATCTAAAGCCTGAATATGGACAGAACAATTCTGCTCAGCCCAAGAGCTGTTATCAGTGCTGGAAAAGCTGGGCCTTGGGCTCTGAGTGGAAAGCCATGGCTGAGCTGGATCCAAGAAGCATCACTGCCTCTGCCAGTGGCTTGGCCTGGCTGCCATCCCTGGTGCATGGGCTGTTGTTCCCTGCTGGACACTGAGGAGGTGGGCTGCTCCAGACATCCTAATGTGCCTGGGCTTGCACAGAGGCAGGGAACACTTGTGAACATGGATGTCTTGCCCACTTCTGGAGTACATGTCCTGCTGCACTGGTGCTCAGAATGTTCCAGGATGTGGGAACTAGTATTTTGTGTAATGAGCTTTGGATGCAGCTTGCCTGGAGCTCCTCTGTGCTTCTAGTCTTCCACAGAAACCATTCTGATGGGTGAAAGGGGACAGCTGTTCCCTCTGTGCCCTGAATATCCTTACATGACAAAGCTGGGAGATGGTGTTCTTTTGAGCAACTCACATACCCATAGCCTGGCCTTCTCTTATCCTGGAGGAAAAATGGATCCAGCCAGGACTGCTGCTGGTGGCTGCTGACTCCACTGGGTGGTGAACACCCTGTGCCCTTCATCCTCCTGGTGCTCATCCATCTGCTGATGTAGCTCAGGAGGCTCAAGAAGGGGCCTTGGCAGGGGCTGGTCCTTGCCCTGAGCCATGTTCTCCCCAGTCACCTCTGCAAAAAGAGCTTTGTGCTGTGGTTGGGCTCTGTGAAGACACCGTCCCTGCAGGGACACTTCCTGCCTTTGCCTGCACACAGAAGGTGGTTTCAGAAGCGCTGTGGCCCTGAGTGCGTGTGGCAGGACAGCAAAGTCACCCATCCCTTCCGGGGACCATCTTCTCCCAAGCCATTCGACCTCTGGGAAAGCTCAGTGAGCTCCTGGTTGGCAGATTGCTGCCTGGAGCTTAGAAGTTTGTCAGGAAGGGGCAGTTTAGGGGAAGAAGGCAGCTGTCACTGTCCATGCTGGTCACAGGGACCCACGCTGCCGGCTGAGAGCAGCTCTGCCTGTCCCCAGCACCTTTCCTGAGTCTCTAGTGGGGCCAAGCTGAGCCAACAGTGGGAAATCCTGAAGCTCTGCAGCGTGTCACGGGACACAGGAGTGCTTCCTGGTCCAAAACCTTCCTGGATGAGTGGACTGGTTGATGTGCTGTCCTGTTGCTCCAAGGAGGTCACCTGGCTTCCGCCTCTCACCCTTGCTTTGGGACAGCAGTTTTGTCACTTTAGCAGAACACCTGGGGCATCTCTGTTCTGGAAAAGCCCTTCCTTCAGCATCCTGCCATGGGCACCAGCATCCATCCTCCAGAGAGCAGCTTCCAGTGGGCACTAACATCCATCTCCACTAGCTCTCCTTGCAGATTCCCAGCACAAGGTGATGGAGCTGGGCTCACTGCCCAGTGCTGGGAAGGGTAGACTTGCCCTTACCCCACTCACCAGCCATCTTCAGGCAGAAATATCTCCATGAAGCACCTCGAGAGATAGAGAGAGGTCATGTATCCTCAACCCTGGAAGGCTGGAACTATGGCGAGGTGCTTCGTGCCCGAGGGGTGTCCTGCTCACCCAGGGAAGCCACACTGGAGAAGAAGGATGCTGGGCAGTGACGCCCTCTCCTCCCGGCAGGGCCGGTGGGCCGTGGGCACCGTCGCTTTCATTTCTCTTCTCTTACTCAGGCGGTAAATCTCGCCTGACGGGGCAGGAAGAGGCACCGGGAGGGGGAGGAGGCACCGAGGCGGCGGCGCTGCCGGTTGGAACCTCAGCGCTTCCTCCCGGCAGGGCGCCCTTCCCTCGGTGCCCAGGGATGCTGCCCTGACTGACACCGCATCCCCGGGCAGGTGACCCCGCGCTCCCAGCCATGGCTGCATCCCCTGGGGGGATCCCCACCGAGCTGCAAGGTAAGCATCGCCCGCCGCGCTGCCGGGGCATCGCTGCCACATGGAAGCTGCCAGTACGGGGCCTGCTTGGGGTTGGCAGAGTCACTTTTGGGTCTCAGCTGTGACAACTGAGGTTCAGGGGGCCCCATGCAGTGCCTGGGGGTTCCTCTTGTCTGCAAAACTCATTTTCCTGGGGATGGATCTTGGACCAAGAGCATCCCCAGATAACCTGGCTCCTCAAGGATGGGATTCTGTGCAGCTCAAGCTGCCAGATTTGTGGTGCTGCTCGGTCCCGTGGGCTTGGGTTCCTCGGGCCAGTTGGAGATCCCCAGCAGCGCCCCAGGCAGGCACAGACTGCAGCTCAGCAAGGGGGGGCATGAAATACCATCACAGCCTTCTCTTGGCTGATTGAAAAAGCAAAAAGCCACAAAGATCTCGGGGTCCTTCAGCCTCATCAGCTCCACTGAGGCTTGCAGTGGGGTGGGAAGGAGCTGGGTGGGTCCCTGGGGATGTGTGGCTCAAGCCATGGGGCTTGGTGTCATTGTGAAAGCCTGGTTTGCTCTGCACAGTGATGGACAGCTGTGGGTTTGGTCCTGTTTCTCCCAGTGAGAGGCATGAATCATGAAGGCAAGGAGGTGCTGCTCAAGGAGTGATGCTCATGCTGGCTCACTGACTGTGGGAGTGACTGGGCTGTGAACCTGGGGAGGCTGGCATATGTGACAACCCTGGCTGCTCTATGGAGAGGAAGGACTTGGGTGTCCAGTTGCTCCCTAGTGGTAAATTTGGAAAGGAAGGAAGAGAAATCAGGATCCTCTTATCAGTCTGTGCTAGCTCCCAGTGGGTGAGGCAGCAGGGACAGGGTGAACCAGCAACCCCAAAGGCCTGTGCTCCATTGAGGCTGCAGAAGATGGGGAGGTGGGTGCGTCAGCCCAGCAGCAAAGGACACCCACAGGTGGTCAAGTGTGAAGCTTGTCTGAGAGCAACCAGGGTCTGACTGTCAGGTGTAGAGGGAGAAAAGATGATTCAGGTGGGGACAGTATTCCCCAGAGCAGGAGAGTGCATGGGAGAGGACCAAGGTGACCTCAGCCACTTAATTTCATGTGAACATTGTTTTTTTCAGAGGGCATCACCGCCTTCCTGGGCACAAAGAAGGTGCTCCTGGTGCTGAGCATCCAGCTGCAGGTGAAATCCAAGTATGAGGACTTTATCTTGGTATGTGCAGAATCCAGCCTGGTTCCTGGTTTCCCCAGGAAGGTGTTTTATGGCTTCAGTGAGGGACACAGGTGGCTCCCATGTCACCATGGTTTCTTGTCACACCTTGCCTAGGTCCTGACACCCTGGCGAGCCTATGTGCTGCCTGTGATGCTGCCAGTGAGGGTAAGTGTGGGGACCTGTGCCATGGTACAGCCCTAGGGCTCCTGGGGGGGTTTGGGGCACTGTGGGGGAGTGACCCATGAGTCACCTGGGCCACTGGGTCTGGGAAGCCCTCAAGAGCAGGATGAGGAGAGAGATGGGGGGGAAGGGCAGGAGGTCTTGTTTGGGGGCTGGTGAAGGGTGGGACCAAGGCCAAGCACTACTTGAGGCATGGGAAAGTGTAGGATTTGGAGGAGAACCCTTGAGTTTTCTCTCTCTCCATCAGCACTAGGGTTTATCCTACTCCTCTCACCCGCAGGTTCACAGCAGCTTCAGCTTCCTGGAGGTGAGGGAAATGATGGTCCAAGAGCCCAGTGTGGTGAGTGGCACCAGCAACTGTGACAAACCCAACCTGGGCATTACCCCCCATTCTGCCTACTCCCCCATGGCAAACCCTATTCCAGAGCCCACCACAGGATCTGGGGGTGTTCTGGTCCCCCATTGCACACTGGCGGTCACTAGTGTTGATCCTCATCAAGGGCATTGCCCTGGAGCTGGAAGTGCAGGAGGCACCCAGGGGTGCTGGGTGGGTGCCTGCACTTCTTCCCTTCTGGCATCCATGGACAGCTCCTGGCCATGGCACCTCCTGCTCAGCAGGGACAAGGTGACAAATGGCTGCAGGCTTACCAAGGTGAAGACAAATTTAGCAGGAGGGTGTTTTAAACCCTGTTAATCCTCTTAGAGAGGGGCGGGCACATAGGGCAGATGTGGCAGTGGGAACCATGGAAGAAAGGAATTGGACATCAAGGCTTGGATGTAGTGGCTGAAATAGGGCTGTGGTCCTGGTTAACCTCCTGTCTGCTCCTTTCTAACATCCTGGCTGGCTTTTTCTTGTTAAAGCATCAGCAGCAACCACGGCCTCAGCCTCCACATGGGGTTTCTGCTGCTCAGCAGGCTGAGCTCTGGGACAGAACTGAAGAAGCTGGGCAGAGACAGAGGGGTGCAGGGAGTTGAAACCTCAGGGTGCAGGGGGGAGAGACATCTGACTGGGCTATGGAAAGCCCAGGGATTGTTAATGTGCAGGCAGTCCCACGCTCTCCTGCCTCCACAGCCCCGGGCACTGGCGGAAGCGCCGTCCCCACGCGATGCCAGCAGATAATTGTCATCCTGCTCCCACGCCTCAATCAGCGTGTAATTAAATCAGGGAGCATGTTGCCATGGGATTTTTTTTTTTTTCCTGGTAGGAATGATAAGCTAAAAAAGCCCTAAACATCGATTAAATAAATTCAGGGAGGAAACCTCCGTCCTCCAGCTGCGGCTGCTGCAGGCAGAGACAAGGCTGCTCTCACCTCACTGCATCAGGCTGCCTCTGCATCAGCTTAAGTTGAATTTTCAGGAGATTTGTGCCTTATTCTGGCACACTAATGTATTTTAGGATGTATTTTATTCTAAATTCTTGGTGCTCGCAGCATTCCCTGTGCTGATGGTGCTCTGGCAGGGTTGGCAGTGAGGAGCTATGGCTGTCACCGCTGTGTCTGGGGGCTTGGGGACGCTGTGTGCTGCCAGCTCGCTCAGGCATCTCTCGTCCTTTGGGCCCTGCAGGTTGTCATAGAAACAGATGCAGCGTCTTATGCCTTCCGGTTCATGTCTTTGGATGATTTGGAGCAAGTTGTTATCCATGTCACCATGTCACTTAAGAAGGTGTTTCCAGACTCATCCCTTGGGTAAGGGTCTTCTGCTCCTGAGGTTGTGTGGGAACCAGAGCAACCCCTTTGCCCAGAAAAGCCCCAGATTGTAGAATCTTGGAATGGTTTGGGTAGGAAGGAACCTTAAAGATCATTTTGTTCCAACCTACCTGCCATGAACTGGGACACCTGCAGCTAGAAAATCCCAAATATGGGATGGGTCTACAGCAGTGCTTTTAGCTGGAGAAAAACACATGGATGGAGGCGAGACCCTGTTTCCTGACTGAATATTTCTGGCTACCCTATACACAAGGGCTGTAGCTAAACATTAAGTGGTGGGGATGCTTTTCTCCTGGCCCACCCTGACACACCCCTCTGCTCCCTCCCCAGGACACTGCTCAAGAACTCCCCCCCCAATCTGTACAAGAGGATCCAGCAGATCACAGACTCACTGGAGGAAATGCTGCAGAGCAACCCTGGGCCTTGTGGTAAGTCCTGCCATGACCTCCCTCAGGCAGGACCAGGAGGGTTGGAGCACCCTGGGGACCATTCCAGCCCTGCATCCATCAACAGCAGCTCTGCTGACAGCCCCACCTCTGCTAGCAGGGTACCTGTGATGGCTTTGGTCACATGGAGCCCATCTACTGGGGTCTGCTGTCCACCAGTCCATCCCATGGGGCAGGAGCAGGTTTGAGGGGATGTAGCTCCCCCGTAAGAAGCAGGACAGCAAGAAATATTGCTCAGAATCTACCTGCAAGAACCTGTAGCTGTGCATGCTTCTACCTACCTCATATGGCACCACTGCAGAGCCAGGAGCTTTTCCTGTAGCCTGGTCTGGAGCAGGATACCTCCATTATCACCATAGCAATGTGCCTTGCCAGGTATCCACATGGATCAAGCAAAACAAGCCACAGCCCCCATTTGGGGACTGGCAGTAGATATCTCTCCCCTTTCAGGAGGGAAGGGGAAGCCCTCAGCATCATTTCTGAGTCCCCGTCATCCCTCTTCTATTTCCCACTCTCCCCAAAGCTCTCTTCCATGTTCCCTTGGGAAGGTCTGCCCCCCAAAATTGCCTTCTCTTTGCAGGGGGTTTTTCAGAGACCTACGCTGCTCTGTGTGATTACAACGGCTTTGCCTTCCGCGAGGAGATCCAGTGGGTAAGCTGGTCCATCCCATGCATGGAGCAGTGGCAGTGGGTCACTTGGTGGGCAGGATGCTTGTGGGTGCCTCATGGAGCTGCTGGGGCTGGGACAGCCCAGATCTGGGAACTGCAGCTTTGCCTGGCTTGAGTGGCCCCTGGAATCGAAGTGCAGGTGGGAGCAGCGTGCCTTGGACCAGGGTGTTTCCCAGAGTGTGACCTAAGGGGAGCCCCTGGAAATCTGGGACCTTGCTGGGCGTCCTAGTAGAGGAGAATCCTGCTGGGACCCAGTCATAGCAGGATTCACTGTCTCCCCTTCCTCTGGACACTGAGCCTGACCCATGTGTCCATCCTTCTGGGAAGGATGTGGACAATATTTACCACAGCCAGGACTGCCGGGAATTCAACCTGCTGGACTTCAGCCACTTGGAGAGCAGGTGAGTCCCCCAGCCATGCTGCCTGCAGTGTCCCAGGCACTCATCTTCATTCTCCCTGTCCCTGTTGAGGGGCCCAGCATGCTCTTCTACCCATGTTAGAAGCTTTTATAGCTTACACGCCCCAGGGATGCCACACCTGCAGCCTGACACTCCCCCGCACCAAACGCTCTGAGCCCAGTCCCATGGGGCAGCAGCTGAGAGTCCAGGCAGCCTCTCTGTTCATTTTTAATTCTTAGATCAGCCTGGGAGCTGTTTATGGGGCTGAAAACCCAATGTCAGGGCAGCTTCTTGCAGCTCGTGGCTGTCAGGTGTTTCCCTATGCAAAGCAGCTGGTGCTGCTTGCCACCCTGAAACTTGCACTGCTCCCTACCAGCCCCCCCACCCCCCAGATACCTGTTATAACTTTGTTATCACCTGATTATAACCTGAGAGTGAGACTGTGAGCTCCATCTGTGCCTGGAGTTCTCCCTCTGGGGCTTAGCCACATCTCCATCCCAAGAAAGATGGAGCAAGGGCTCAGCTCTCAGGGGAGGCAACTGCCAGGCTGGGCTGCAGCGAGTCAAAGTTCTGGGTTGAGTGTTTTGGGGAACAGAGGATCTGTGTTCAGCTGGTGAAAAAGGAGACAATTTTAGAGATTTCTTTGGATGAGGAAGTAAAAAAGAAACTTGCTTGCACTCAACCAAAACTTGTGCTGTTGCTCACATGAGAGCTGAGAGTTAAAAAGAATTTTAAACCCGGAGGTTTAGGTAGGAGCATGCAAAAATTTTATTAATTTTATTTTCCCCAAGGGAATAATCTGGGGAAGATGATCTGTACCTGTGGGTTGCTTTAAACCCACAGTCCCCAGTCCTGTTCTGTTGAACCTTGTGTTGGGGTACACTGAGGTTGGGTGTCTTGGAGCATCCCAGGGTTGGGTCAGTTGGAGCACCTTGGGTTTGGTTGTGTTGGGGCACCATGGGATGGGTGTGTTCTGGCATCCTGGGTGTCTTGGGGTACTCCAGGTATATTTGGGGCACCCTGGGGTTGGATGTCTTGGGACATGCCCCAGTTTGGTGTTTTGGGTCACCCATTTGGGACTAACCTTGACTCATCCTGGTCCTTGACTCTCTCATCCCTGTCACCCTGCAGGGATGTGGCACTGAGCGTTGCTGCCTTGTCCTTCAACTTGTGGTTCACCAAGCTCTCCTGCAAGGATTTCAGGCTGGTGAGTGCCAGTGCTGTGACTCTGGGTGCACCAGAGGTGGCCAGGTTCCCAGAAGGGCTTTCTTCTTCCCTGCCAGAATCAGGAGATTTCAGAGCAGCTGCTCTACATGCTCAGCAAATCAGTGACACTGGAGGAGCTGGTGCTGGAGAACAGTGGGTTGAAAGCGTAAGTGAAGGTGCTGCAAGGCAATGATGAGCAGCATCTCGGCAGCCTGGTGGTTCTTCCCTCAGTGCATGGACCCTTGGGCTCCATCTCTTCCACACTGGGAAGCTCACTGGGAGCAGGGATTCCCATAGCCTGGAAGGCCAGTGAATAGCACCCACCCCTGGAGATGCTCTGCTTCCTTCTGGCTGCAGATGGAGCCAGGTCTGCCACACAGGCAGGAGCTGGTGGCATGTCCCTGTAAGACCGCAGGGTTGGTGGCTGTGTTTCTTGGAGGTGTCCAAGCATTGCTCAGATGGGTGACCCTTCTCCCCGCAGTGACTTTGTGCAGAGGATGGCCCAGGCACTCAGCAGCCATCCCAACTCTGTCCTGCACACCATCAATCTCTCTGGCAACCAGCTGGAAGACAGAGGTACTCAAATTCTGGGTTGGGAGGAGTTTACACCCACAAAAACTAATGCTCAACTCCAAATCCCACCAGCAGCTGCCTCTTGTCCTGGAGGCTGCAGCTGAGGGTGGGATGGACACCCAGCTGTGCTGGCACAGCCATTCAGAGCTCTCTGCTCTCATCAGGGGTCACTGCCTTCAGCCGGCACATGGAGAAGAGTTCCAAGGGTCTGCAGAGCCTCAGCTTGGCCAGGACAATGCTCACAGCCAGAGGTAGAGCACAGATACCCTTGCCCCACTCCACAAAAGGAGTGACAGGAGGGGCTGCAGAGACGCCCTGGAAAGGGCACCTTCGTGGATGTGCTGTCCTGCTGTCCCAGCTGGAGGGAAGTTCCCTTGCTCTGCTCCATGGCTCTCCCCAGTGCAGGGATCCTGTGGCTATCCATGTCTCCCATTCTCTTTGAGCAGGGATGAGCACATTATGCAAGGCCCTCACAGATAACAAAGCCATTGGATTCTCCCTCCGGCACTTGGACCTCTCTGGAAACCCTGGCACCCTGGCTGGGGATGACATCAGTGTGAGTAGAACGCTGTGATGGGTGGGGTGACATCACTCAGGCTGTCCCCAGCGTGGTTTGGATGGCTTTGGTCTCCTCTGGTCTGTGCCCTGCCCTGCAGCATCCCAGGGATGGGGAGCTCATGGCTACAACACCCCGTGCCTGCCTGGGAGCAGCTGGGGACACGCTGGGGACATCCCCCTGCGTCTCCTTGTGGGAGTGTGGGAGATGCCATCTGGAGCAAGGATATATCCCATGAGAGAGTGGGTTCCTGCGTGCAGGATTCACCCCTGTGCTCAGCCGGAGGGAGGAGACAGCCTGAAACTGGGATTGCAGGGTGCTGGGTGGGGAGTGGCATTCAGGGGCAAAGCTGCTGAGCCCCCTCTGCTCACAGAACCTGCAGAGCCTCCTCCGCCACTGCCACTCGCTCTCCCACCTCAGCCTGGCTGGCACAGACTGTCCTTTGGATGCTGTGAGTACCATGCCAGGGGTCCTGGCAGTGAGCCCTGCCCTCAGTCCCCCTCCATCCCCGGGCTGTGTGAGAGGCTGCAGCACCTCTGGGTCCTCCTCCACATGGCTCACATCCCCATCCTGGCAGCTCTTTGGAGCCCTGGTCCACGGATCCCACACCAGCCTCATCCACCTGGATCTCTCCAAAAACGTGTATTCCCACAAGTAAGCCCTGGACGGGGTGATGGGGGTGTGGTACCCAGGGGGGTACCAGGGGTACCCAGGGGGGTGGCTAGTGCTGGGTTGCAGTTGTTGCCATGTTGTGCCCATCCTTTTCAGGAGGGTGAAAACCATCTCTCCGGACATCAAGGAGTTTTTCAGCCAGGCCTGCTCCCTCAGACACGTCTCCCTGGCAGGTACCAAGCTGCCTGCTGATGTCATAAGGTGCGGTTGGGCTGTGGGGAATGGATTTGGGGTGAGCATAGCCCGGGGAGACCTTGGTCAGGTGGGGAGGATGGATGGATGGATGGATGGATGGATGGATGGATGGATGGATGGATGGATGGATGGACGGACGGACGGATGGATGGATGGATGGAAGGGGTTGTGAGAGGCAGAGCTCTGGGAAGATGCCTTCTCCAGCATCCCACTCCCACTGCTGGGGGTACCCCATGGCAGGTGCTGGTGCCCCCATTTCTTGCACTGATGGGGGGCTTTGGTGACTTTCCCAGGGCGTTGCTGCAAGGGCTGGCAGACAACAGTCACATCAGTGACCTGCACCTGGATCTCAGCAGCTGTGAGGTGAGGGCCCAGCAGCCATGGGCACCACCCCTGCAGCCAGGGGCTCCCCCTGTGGCAGTGTGGAAGGTCCATGCCCTGTCTGACTTCCCCGACAGAAGGGTCTCATTTGCAGGGCTCGCTGCCTCCCCTGTACTGATGTCTTGCTGTTTCTTCCAAGCTGAGGTCAGCGGGGGCCCAAGTCATCCAGGATCTCATCCCTGATGCCAGCTCCATCAGTCACCTGGACTTGTCTGACAATGGTAGGTTGCTTTATCCCAGCCTTGAGAAGATCTCCTCCATCTCCTGGACCTTCATGTCCAGTCACCCAGCACAGAGAGTGGGGTGATTTCTTTATGCCCTCGTACCTCAAGACTTGCCGAAATTTCTCATTTCACATCTTTCTTGGTACAGTCCTCTTCAGTTCACTGAATCTGAAGTGGTCTGGTATTGCTGGTTCAGGGTTTGAAGCACTGAATGGGTTTCCCTGGGCAGAAACTTCCCTTGTAGCCTCTGCTGCCAGCCTTGTCCTGCTGTGGCCTCTGAAGCCATGGGCAAGTGATCCTACTCATCACAAACATCAACTCTGCCAGTTGTTAATGTCACCTAGAAGGCCCTAAGATCTCACAGCAGACTGTGCAATTCCTCAGTAGCCAAATGGCTCTGGGAAAACTGATGTGGTTTGGAGTCCTTCAGGACACCAATGCTCCAAAAGCTTATGCTCTCACCCACTCTCTCCAGTCAACCTTTGCCAAAATAATATATTTTTGGCTTGCCCAGTAGAGCATCTCTGTGCAGGAGGGACAGTGCATAGGTGGGTGCTGGTGCCTCGTGCCCTTGGCTGGTTGAGCTGCTGGGTGAGCAGATCCCTGCCCATGTCTCTGCCCGATTTCCCTGAGGATGGTGCAGCCAGGAGGATGGGAGTGCAGGCAGCTGCCTGAAAGCTGAACTCCCCCCATGCTGTCCGGGGTGGTGGGTGGGTGATGGGGGGCACACCCCTGAGGGATGGCAGAAAGCAAGTGCCATCTCCAGCTCCCTCAGCCCCCCCATGGCTCAGCACAGCCTTGGCACCCCAATATCGGGAGTGCCCACAGTGGCTGCTCCTTCCCTGACATCATTTCTCAGGGTCTTCAATCTCCTTGGGGAAGCCAGGAAGGGAGGAAGATGCCCAAGAACTTCCCAGGCATCTCCAGCATCCCACTGTGACAGCTTGGTGGCTCTGCAGGTCTCCTGGGAGGGACCACCTTGGTGCCCCCTCCATGCATTTGTTGGAGCATCTTGGGTGTCTCCCATCTCCTGCAGGCTTCGACCCTGACATGGTGACACTGGTGCTCTCCATTGGCAGAAGCAAATCCATTAGGCACGTCTCCCTGGGGAAAAACTTCAACATCAAATCCAAGTGAGTGGAAAGCAGCAGCACCCAGGTGTGGAGCCATCCTGGAATGGTGCACCCACCTTGACTCTCTCTCCCCATCAAAAGCCCATGGGCTGGTAGGAATTGTCTGCCCATCCTGGCTGCCCCAACACAACAGGGAGGGTGACCATTGCCAGCAGCTGGTGCAGTGTCAGAGATGGGTCATAGCCCAGGCAAGAGTGGGAGGAAGGACAGAGCTCTGCCAGCTGCCTCTGTGGCCCCAGGGCATGCACAAGTAACCCCCCCCACACACACACCATCTCTCCTGCAGGGAAGGTCTGTTGGATGTCCTGCACCGCATTGTCCAGCTCACCCAGGAGGAGGATTGTGTAAGTCCAGTTTGCCCTCAGCCACCACAGCCACCCCATCCATGCTCCCGTTCACCCTCAGCCACCACTGTGCAGTCTCCATGCTGGGATGCCATCCATATCCCTCCAGCACAGGCTGGGAACAGTTCTCCCTCTCCCCCACTGCCATTCAAGTCCTTCTGCTTTTATTTTTCCTCAGTCTGAAGCAGAAGCTCAGACAGAGGAGTGGGAGCTGTTCCTGTTCATCTGAGAAAATGGGACCCCGTGTCTGGCTAAAGGCATGGAGGAGACACTTGGTGTAACCTGGATTCAGCACAGCTTTCCCAAAAAGCCTCTCTTTTCTCCTCACTGCCTGCCAGGCATCTGAGCTAAATCCAGCCTGTTGCCTGAGCACTCATTGCCCTCCTGTTTCCTGGGGTTCAGCATCACTTGTTCGCTCCAAAACCAGCACCAGGCCAGAGGGTACTGGACAGGGATGGAGACTGTGTCTGAAGGGTGACATGCACCTTGACATGTCCTGGCCACCTGTCCCCCTCCCTGTCCCCTTTCCAGCCTCTCCAGTCATTGTCTGTGGCTGAGTCACGCCTCAAACTGGGAACCAACGTCCTGCTGAGTGCTCTGGGCAGTAACACCAGCCTCATCTCTCTGGACATCAGTGGCAACGCCATGGGGGACACAGGGGCCAAGATGCTCGCCAAGGCCCTGCAGATCAACACCAAGCTCAGGTAGCAGCAGCTCTGTAACACCCTGTGGGTGACCCTGTGCTGAGTGGCCCTGACTTGATGGTTGTGATGCTGATGCCATCAGAGGAGCTTGTCATGGCTCCTGGTGACCATGGATGTGGTCCTGGACCACTCCTGGTACATGGTTGAATGCTATGACTGCATTTTGCACCCATGGCAGTGCTGGCAGGGGACATGTGAAAGACGAGAGAGCAGCTCAATCCCTGCCCTGGTGCTTGCCACCTCTTTTCCAGGCTCCTGCACAGCCCAGCATGCTGCAGACAGACCTTTGTAGTCACTGCCCTCACCTCATGCTCTGCCATCAGTTCCTGAAACACCATTTTTGACCACATTGTGTACACAAAGCCAAAGCAGGGGTGCCTGTAAAGGACAGGGAATGGTGTTCAGTCAGGGCTGCTCCTCTGGGAGATGTTTGTCCCTGCCCACAGGATGGTGCCTGAATATGTCCTCCCAGCCCTTCACTCCCTCCAGGCACCCACATAATTTATAACTCCTTGCAAAGTCCAAGTTTAGGTTTTGGATACTGAAAATTGTAATTTTTAACCCCACTTTTAGGCTCTCTGATGCCTGGGGTCAGCCTTGGACTGACTCTTGCTGGCACCACCTCAGGGCAGTGTGGGTGTGGGCAGGGCTCACCTAGGTCCCTTTTTTTGCAGGACTGTGGTTTGGGACAGGAACAACACAACTGCCCATGGACTCCTAGAGGTGGCTCAAGCTTTGGAGAAGTAAGGAAGGAGTTTCTTGGTCCTTCTGGCTTGTTATCACCATGTCACCAGCATGTCACTATTCCCAGGGCCTTTTATCCCCTTGAATGGCAAGGCCATCACACAGTTTCATCCATGTCCCAAGGGAGTTGGTGCACAGCTCTGGCCTTGCAGCCAGAAAAGCAACCTGACACCCATTTGGTGATGACACCCCCATCACCAAACTCAGGGACTCCCCTGGGCTCTGCATCCCAACCAGCACAGCCTCATGTCCCCTAGGGAGCCCCCAGTGAGCTCGAGGGGATCTGGTGGTGATGATGTGATGTGATGCTCCTCTCCTCCCTGCCCATCACGGATGGGTAGAGTCTGTTCACCTGCTGAGCACCCCCAGCTCCCTGTCTGATGCTTGGCTGTACAGACCTCTGGAGTCTGAAGGAAGGGGGGTACATGGAGAGCCTGGGCAGGCGGTCACTGCCACCCCAGCAGGGTCTGCTGAGGGCCAGTCTGGCCATCCCTATCGCCAGGGCTGGACCTCAGGACAACATCCAGGCTGCTGTTGGGTGGGCTCAGGGCCTGTGCCGTGTCTGTGGAGGCATGGGCAGCAGGGATGAGCCCTGGGTGCAGCAGCACCTGCTCACCCCACTCTGCCTCACAGGAATTTCACGCTCAAGTCGATGCCGCTGCCCATGAGCGACGTGGCGCAGGCTTATCGCAGCAACCCCGAGAGGACAGAGGAGGCCGTGCACAAGGTGGGCAATGTGGGCTGGGGGATGCAGGGCCAGGTGCCACCATCACTGCTCATGGCCTCTTGCCTTTGCAGCTCCAGTTCTGCCTGACGAGAAACCAGCTGAGGCAAACGCTGCCAGCACAGACCTTCCGGCTGCAGCAGGGCATCCTCACCACCTCCTCAGAACAGGTTTGATGGACAAATTACTGCACGGGGCTGCTCCTCCCCTGCCCCAAAAGACCCTGGCTTGCTCATGTGAGCTCTTGCAAGCAGAAAAACACCCTTTCAACCTTTCCTGACTGGAAGGCAGAGGAGAATGGAGGGATGGAATGTGTTGCTCAGAGAAATTGTGGGTGCCAAATCTCTGGAAGTGTTTAAGCCCAGGTTGGGCTTGGAGCAGCCTGGTCTAGTGGAAGGTGTCCCTGACCATGGCAGGGCAGTTGGAACGAGAGGACCTTTAAGATCCCTTCCAACCCAAACCATTTCATGGTTCTGTGGTGAGGGTGGGGGCGGATGGAAAGCAGATCTGGAATCCTGCTGGTTGCATCCATGCATTTCGTGCACATGCACTGCTGAGATAACTTGCTGCTATGCTAACTATACAGTGTGTTCCTGCCCCCCGTGCACTCTTGCCAGCAAATCCCTGCTGTGTGGAATCCCTGGTTATTGGGCAGGGATGTTCTCAGAGAATATAACCTGCCTGTGCCCCCTCTGAACACACTCTTCTCTGGGAAAGTCACAGCAAGGAGGGGAACTGGCAGTGCTGCTCCAGCTCTGGCACATGACACAGCCTCTCTGTGCTCCAGATGGTGAATGAGATCTGCCTGAGTGTGCAGAAGCACGTTGACATCCTCAGCACCTGCACGGGCAGGGAGGTGGAGTCGGACATCCTCTGTGCTGAGGAGGCCATCAGGAATGCCAACCTCTCTGTCAGTGTAAGTCCACAGTGTGGGAAACCCCCCCAGCTCCCCCAGCATCCATTCGGGATCGAAGCAGGGCATTGATTAGTTAATGACATCATTAACCAGCAGTCAGGGAATTCCAAAATGTCGATGCAACAGATGCACACCACCGAGCACTTGCAAACATTAAAGAACAGCTGAGAATTTATGAATTCTCTTTTAGAACAAAGATCAAAATGTTCTTAGTCCCCTTACCCCAGAGACACGCAGCTGTGTGCACACCCCCCCACAGGGTTACAACCCCTCTTTGTCTGGCATCCCATGCTCACATGTCCCTCCTTGGAGAGATAGGTGCTCCAGCTATGAGAGCACCCTGCAGCCCACAGATGTTCACACTGGTGAGAAGCCTCCCTGAATCCCTGAAGGGTCTCTCCCTGAGGCATCTTCATCCCACCCCAGCAATGAAAATGCTCCATCAGCCCATGACAAAATCCATCATGTTGGCTTGGCAGCTCCTGGCTCTGTCAGACCTGGTTTGATCCTCCTGATCTTGATTCTCTCTCCCCATTGCACCTTTTCCTCTTTCTCCTCTACTTCTTTTTAGACCACCTCCTTTCCCCTTTCCCCCAACTCTCTGGCACCCCCCTGGTTACTTAATCTGGTAAAGACAGGATTTAAGAAGACAGTACTGCATTGGAAAGGTGATGAAAGGGTTGGTTAAGGGTGTCCCTGGTGCAGGTAGCAGTGTAGTGGAGTGCAAGACGGGAAGGAGAGTCAGTGGGTGGTGGGGAGAAATGTGAGGGATGAAGGTGCCCAAACCTGGCCCAGCAAAGCCACTGAGTCTCCCCAGCTGATGCAGGTGATGCTCTCCCATGGGACAGCCATGGATGCAGGCTGGAATGCAAGCATATTTCCCTGGAAATACAGGAAGAGAAGATGAGGTGACATGGGATGATCCACACCATCTCTCTTCCCATGTCAGATCCTGCCCCTCTTGTATGAAGCAGGAAACACCCCCTACCAGAATGGCAAGCTGCAGCACAAGCTGGAGTGTCTCACGGAGGAAGCATCGCAGACCTGCAGCCGGGAAATCCAGGTGGGCACTCATGGGCAGCACGGGATGTTCACCAGCCTTGGCCCAAGGATAAGGGGGGATGGTGTCTACTGAAAACTGTGTGAATCCTAACAGAAAAGAAACTGAAACCTTCCTTTCCTTCCCAAACTTCAGGCAATCATGCAGGCGGTGCTGGACACGGCCCACGGCCTGTGCCCAGCTGTGGTGCAGAAGAGCGGGGTCAGGGATCAGCTGGTCAATGCCATGTCAGAGAGGATCTGCCTCCAGGACCACCTCAGCCTCAGTGCTGTCCTGGACCAGATGGTCACCGATGTCTTCAGCAAGCTGAAGTGGGTGATGTGCTGTTCTTCCTTCTTGCTCAGTCACTGGCACTGACCCATGGGGCCAGACGAGCATTCTGGGGGCTCTCTACCAACTTCTCCTCTCCCCACGTTGTGGTAGAGGTGTGCTGGGACCTGCTGCTGTGTTTTTCCAGCTGTAGCTTTGCTTCCTGCTTGGATCCACTTTGGATGAGTCCCTAGGGTGCTGGGGAAACCCATGGGGTGGTGTTCCTGCAGGCACATCCCCTTGGCTGGCTGGCCCTGACCATCAACAGTGGGATGCATTTGGCATTCTCCATCCCAGCCAGTGCCTATTCCCATTCCTGGCCTGGCAGCACAGACCCAGTAAGCCACAGCACATGGGCATGTCCTGAGAGTCCCTCTGTGTGCCACGGCCAAGCATCCATCTCCTCAGCAAAGCCCTCCCTGGGGAGGTGGCTCTATGGCTTGCAGGTTTGGTGGGTGCTGGCCCTGAGAATCTTCTTTCTGCTCCCAGTGAAATCAAGCTGTCCGTCACAGCTGCTGTAGCTGACTGCATCGTGGACACCGTGCTGGGAGACCTGACCACGGCCCAGTGCAAACTGGTGAGTGCTGGGGGCTGCCAGCGCCTGTGAGATGGGGATGTGGGGCTGGGATACAGGATGGGGATCTGGGTACCCCAGCATTGTCCAGATATCCGGATGCCAGTGCTGTGACCATGGATTTGCAGGCTGGGAAGCAGGACAATTCCCACCTAGGCTGGTTTTCCTCTCAGGTAATCCTCTCCCTGTGTGGTCACAGCAATATTAACACCCAGAGCAAAGTCCCAGGGTTGCTGCCGTGAGGTGGGGGGTGCTGGGGTGACGCCAGGCACCGGCCACTCCTGCAACAGGGCAGCTGTGCTGGGCTGGACACCGGCTAATCAGGCCTAAATCCGCTCACAAATCCCAGCCGTGGGTAGGGAGCAGAGCAGCACGGAGCACACAGGGCAGCCGAGCACACTTCAGCCCCTGGGATAATTTAAGCGCTTCCTAATGGTTTTAGGCAGAGAGCCTCTCCAAGCAGGGGCTCGACCTCCTGGTGCTGCCGCCGGAGTCGGCTGAGGACGATGCCACGGCGCTGGCGAGGGGCAGGAATCCTCCGGACCTCGCTGCAGAGGAGGTAGGGTCCAGACCCGCTGCCGCCGCGTGATGCCCGCTCTATAACCGCCCTTTATCCGCCTTACCGGATGATGCCGGGCTTAACACCACAGCCTCTCTGGGTGCACGCACCCCCGGCACCCCCCAGGGTAGAGCTAAGGCAATTAGCCCTGGGAAATGGGACCATTAGTCAGCCAGGCCATGCTGCTGGCACTGGGAATGTGTCCTTGTGGCAGCCTGGCTGCTTGTACCTTGTCCTGCTGTTGCCGCTTTGGACCTGGGATCCAGTGTAGTGCATGGTTCTGGATGGGGAAGTATCCAATCCAGTACTGTGGGTACAAGGTGAGGGGGTGCAGCCCTGGGAGCCTGGGGGTGATGGAGGGATTGCACCCATCACTGGATGAAGCCTGGCTGGCTCTGGCTGTCTCTTGGCACAGCCAGCTTGTCCATGCCAGAGCTGCCACCATCCCTCTCTCCCTGCAGTACAAGATGGCCCTGCGGAGGAGAAACAAGCATTTCAGGAGCATTCGGCCCACACCAACTGTGAGAAGTAAGGTCACTGCTGAACTGTCCCTTTCCTGTGGCTCAGTGGGTGCCATGCTGCCTCCACGGGGCATGGCAGGGGTGGGGGGCCCCAGTCAGAGCCCCCATAGTGATGGGCTGAAGGTATCAGGATCTGGACCCTTCAGAGAGCCTCTCCCAGTGCTGTGGTGGGGGTCTGTGGGGAAAGCCCGCCTTGACCTTGCTCTTGTGCTGGTTTTGGGCTTCAGCTGGCTCAGTGCCCTTGGGCAGTGGAGTAAATGCCTTGAACTCCTTCCCCACATAGCCAGCTGGGGTAGGAGGTTTCTCTGTGACTATGGGTGCCGTGGTATCTCCCACTGCCATCTCACGGTCCACCCTGAGCATAGACATCACCCACTCACCCAGCAGCCTTGGGGACAAGACATTGCCCAAGCAATGCTGCTGGTGTTGCTCCCAGAGCCCTGCATGTCTTGGGGGGAGTGAATCTCAGGGGAGGCACAGACGATGAGCAGCTGATGGGTGACTCTGCTTTAGCCAAAGCAGAGTTCATGCAGACTCCAGCACTCAGCACCTCTGTGTCCCCAGGGGATCCCTGAGACCCGCAGCCCCCTGCAGTCCATCCAGAGGGTATGGGGGGGGGGGGGGCGGGGTGGTGAGAAGCTGCTTGCAGAGCAAAACTGGTGTGTTTTTGAGCGCTGCTAGCCGGGCAGAGTTCGTGCCGTACCACTGCTGCCTGCTGCAGATCTCAGGGCTGGCTGCGGGGCACAGCTCGGCCCCTGCCTGAGCATCCCCCCACAATCCCCCCACAGCATCATCCCTTCCATGCAAACCTCCAGCGGCGGCAGGATCCATCCCGGGCTGCGCCGCAAAGCCACGCACGCTCCTGGCGGGCACGGCCGCGCTCCCCTCCCCGCGGCGCAGCCAGTGCCCCGCTGACCCTCCACGCGTGGGCGAAGGTGACGGCGTCGGTGATGATGATGGCGATGATGATGATGGGGAGGCCTGGCGAGGGCGGGTGTCAACAGGGACCCTCTCGCCTCTCGTAGGTGTCTCGGAGCTGGAGCCGGCAGCGGGTCGAGACGCCAGCGGGCTCCGAGCTCACCGGGCGCCGCCGTCACTCAGCCCCGCCGCGCCGCCGGCACGCCCTGCCTCCACAAAGGATGCTGAGCCTGCGAGCGGCTCGCTCCCCGCCACGCAGCCTGCCACCGCCACCGGATTCCTTATGGACCTGCCGACCGCCGGCGAGAAGCTGGAGCATTGCACCAAAGCCAGGCCCCGGCCCAACCGCCGGCACAAGCAGCCGCCCAGCAAGCCGAATGTAAGGGGGGGCACGGCTGGCAAGGGAGGTGGGGTGTATTCGGTGTGGTTTTCCCATTTTTTTTCCCCGCTTGGGTGAGTTATTGCGGTCAGTATTTGTTGCAAGGCAGGAAAATGAGATGCGCAAAGACGCGGTGGGTTTATTATTCTGCATTTCAGCTGCTGCCGGAGCCTCCTCCTCGGAGGGGGGCAGCCTGAAAGGATGGGCAAGGGGGCTGTGGGGGGTGAGGGGAATCATCCATCCTCTTTCCTGCTCCTCACTGGGAGTTGCTGAGCGGTGGGAGCCAGGAGAGGAATGAAAAACCTGCAGAGTTTGGGTGCAGAGGGCCAGCGATGTGTTCGGCAATGGCTCCAGCTGCCTCCCTCCTGAGCTCCATTTGTTCCCCCTTATCCAAAATCCATCATCCCTGAAGCACTGGTGGCCAGTCACCACGGCTCCCGGTGATGCTGGTGGGGCTCTGCCAGCCGTGATGAGGTGGGTTGTGCTCCCCCCATCCAACAGGAGACTGGGTGGGGATCCTGCCTTTGCACCCCCCTTCCCAAAGGAAAAGTAACTTTTGGGTGCAGTCGGTGGTGACTCCAGCTCCATCACTGTCCCTCGTCTGGCATCACCTCATCCCCATGCCACCGTGATGCAGCTGGATCCTTTCACTTGCTGGAAAGCCCTGGCTTGCAGGGCTGTGGTGATGCTTGCCCTTGGATCATGGTGGGATCAGGGCTGGCACGGGCCGGAGGGGAGGCAGGAGCTGTGTCCCACGGGCAGGGTGGGTGCTGGAGGTTGGCAGGGCCAGGGGGCCGTCACCCTGCAGTGGGACTGGCACGCCTGGCAGCCAGGGTGGGCCAAAGCTTGAGCAAGGACGAGCTTTGATGGATATGATGTGACAGGGAGAGCAGATCTCAGATGGCTGGAACGGCTCCTGAGCGGCATCAATCCAGCCGTAATGAAAAGTCATTATGGATTGAAATGCCACCGATGGGGAAGCGCCTCCCTCTCATCAATAGGAAGCCACTGATGCAGTGCCACATGCCAGGGAGAGGAAGGTGCCATGGAGGAAGGCTTGGCCATAGCATGGACCACTTTGTTATGGGGATGGGGCAGGTGGCTTTCATGCAGGCTGTGGTGGCACTCCAAGGTTGGACTTGAAACATCTGAAGGATGCAGATATAGGTCCTTGCAAGTCACCTGCTCCATCACCCACCAGCAGCACAGGGGTCTCTTTCTTGGAGCTCAGATGGAGGAAACATCCCTGCCAAAGGCTTCTCCCACAGAACGAGTGCCATACCTCAGCCACCGTGCTGGGTAAGGGGTTGGAAGGAGCCTGGAACTGCCTGGAGTTCCCAGTGCTCAAGGAAGGGAGCAGGATTAGAGCTTGGATGCAGCTGACAACACCATGGTTTGGCTTTAATGCTGGGTAGGAGATAGAGCAGGACCCATCCTGCAGGAGTACTCACTTGATGATGCCCAGTGTGGGTGACACACCTTCATGCCTGGGGGCACCTTTGCCCTGTGCTGAGCTGACAGTGACTGTCACTCACAGGTGCAGCCCGTGGCCTGTGAGAACAGTGAGGACAGGAGCATCACCCGCGTGGACGAGGGGCTGGAGGACTTCTTTGCCAAGAGGCTCATCACAGAAACACTGCCGTAAGCCTGGGGGGTGCTCAGGGCCCCTCACCTGCCCAGCACACATCCATCTCTAGTTTCAGCAGCCTCCCTGCAAACGCTGCTGGTCCAGTGCAAAAGGGATGCTGGGGAAAGCAGCACACCCAGGGATATCTCCAGGGGGAAGAGGAATGGGATGGTAGCCATGGTGTGCCAGATGTGGCCATGGAGTCTGTTCCACATTGGGGAGCCAATGAGGCAGCATCCATGGGAGCCATGCTGGAAATCGCTGGGAATGGGTGCCCTTGCCAGGACACTGCCATCTCAGGTGGAGTGTCCAGAGCCTGTATCCATCCCTTCAGGGTGGGCAGGGAATAAAAACTGATCCCTTACCTCCTGGCAGCCTGAAGCTCACCTTTTCCAATGCTTCATCTTTCCCCAGCCCCACAACTCCGGAGACCTGCCCAGGATCAGCCCCTCTGGCTCCCTCTGGTTCCCGCACCCTCAAGAAGAAAATTGGGAATTTTTTTGCCTTCAAGAAACCCAAATCCAGCCGGGGCTCGAGGTGTGAGAAGGAGCCCGAGGGTGGTCCCACAGCCCCTAGGAGCAGGCGCTCGATGCTCAGTGACATTTTACGAGCCCCCAGCAAGGCGGGCGAGTCAGGGAAGCCCTTGAGTAAATCAGAGGAGGGGGGGCTCTCTGCTGAGCCCCACGCAGAGCCTGAGCACTGCCAGACCCCTGACTCTGCCCGGAGGATCCGGCCCAAGTACTCTCGGGAAGGCAAATCCCAGTCACTCATCTTGCTGTCCGGGGAGGACGAGGATGCACTGGGGGTCAGGCATGACAAGGTAAGCACTATCACAGTCACCAAGTCATCACCACTGTTCAGCTCACATGGTGAATGCTGCTCCCATCCATGGATTCCAGTGGGTTTACCAGGGGATGCGGGGACACTGGAGTGACGGTTGGGGATAGCCCCACTGGATCGTGTCCATGTCACCATCTCCTGGCAGCATACCTGGTGTTGGGAATGTGGGTGCCCCACAGGCAGGAGTGTGGGTGCCATAGGTGCTGTGGTGGGTCCATGTTCCTGGCAGGGTTGTGTCTCTCCTGCAGAAGAGGCACCTGGAGAAGAGTGAGGGGGAGTTGTCCAGCTCCTTCGAGCAGCGTGTGCAGGTCATGCTCCATCGCATCGGTGTCACCAAGGGCCCAGCTGCTGAGAGCAAGAAGCTGCAGGTGGGGACTAGTTCCATTTTTGGGATGGACCCTGCCCCTCCAGGGTAGAAGGAGATGGTGGTCCATAGAGTGGGGGACATCTCCCCACGGCGGCTGGCAGCACCCAGCTCAGTGCTGCCACTGCCCATAGCCTCTGCCCTGTCACCTTACCCTCTGCAAGGGGTGAATTCCTATACACTGCATGATGTCTGTTAGTCTGTCCCTCCTTTCCTGGCATGCACCCATCCCCTACAGCCACATCAGAGCCTGGCAGCAGCATTCTGCCTTCTGCACCCATTGTCTCTGTGGGCACTGCCTCCCTGACACCTCCCTTACCAGTTTTTTCCCCCTTGCAGAGCAAAGACAGCGAGATCAAGAAAGCCGGCTCAGATGGTGAGGGCCTGCACCCTCCCCACCCTAAACACCACCCAGCTGGGCACCCATGGGTGGCCAGGGGCAGGCCCCCTTGGACTCCCAGCTGTGGGTCCCACTACATCATCCCCTTGTTGGGTGCTGGTGGCACTGGGCAGACCCCAGCTCACTGATGCTGGCTGGTGGCTTGTGCTTTCAGGGGACATCGTGGACAGCTCTGCAGACTCCCCTCCATCCCTGAAGGCCCGCACACACTCTGTGTCCACAGGTGGGTCAGCAGTGCATGCTGGGGGGGTCACACCAGCCCCTGGGGCAGAGGGCTTTATCCCCTCTCCTAGCACCAAGCATGGGGACTGTAGCCAACAGGGACTGGTGGGCACAGGCACGTGGGCAGAATTCCACCCTCAAGAGGGTGCCCTACACCCATGGCTGCCCATCCCTAATGATGGCACGTGGACACCCAGCCCATTACCCAGTCCCTGTGTTGGCTGCAGGCTGGTTCCCAGCACCAAGAACCATCCCTGGGGCTGTCACTTCTGGACGCCCACAGCTCCATCCTGCCTGCCCCACAGACGCACCCTTCCGCAGCCCAGCGGCCAGGACGGAGCCCAGCACCGAGCCCCGGCCAGCCTGGAAAGCCCTGGGAAGGCAGCTGCCCACTGAGCCACCGGCCAGCAGCTCCGACCAGCCCCGGCGCTCCTTCACCATAGCAGAGCCCAGCGCGCTGCCGGAGCCCGGGGGCCGGGAGGGCTGGAGCAGCAGCCTGCCACGGCTGGGCAGGAACGTGCCGGTGGCGCTGCCGCGGAGGGTCAGCCATGGTGGGGAGGTGGGTGCTGGCACCCTGCCCACACCACCCAATACTGAAGGTAGGGATGCACGAGGTGCCCCATGGGTGCCTTGTTCTGCTGCTGGCCTGTTCTTGGAGCCCTTGGGAATGGAGGGCAGCAGGGAACCAAGCACATGGTGGGTGCTGGGTGCTGATGGGGCCTGCCAAGTGGGGTGCTGTGGACTGTCCTCCAGTGGCATCTCCCCATTGCTTACACAGACAACCGGTTGATGGCACGGCTGGCAGCGCCACGGGGGACCAGCCGCCGAGCACTGTCCGTCCATGAGGAGCAGCTCAGGGAGCCCGAGTGCCCGGCAGAGCTGGGAAGTAAGTTGGGTCTGAAGTGGGACCCCAAGCCCTCCTTGCACCTAACAGCAAAGGAGGTGGGTGGTGGTGTTCCACGTGCGTGCTGCTGCTGCCTCTCCCAGCTGGTGGGTGATAGACAATGGCACTGCCACACTTGGAAGTTCCCAAGGGGAATTTGGCATTGGGATCAGTTCAGCAGGATCCAGGCCACTGTGCCCCACCCTAACATGGGGCTGGGTTGTGTTTCCCCCAGTGGGCACTGTTCCCCTGCGCCTGCGGCGTTCGCCTGTGCTCAGGCACAGGACCAAGCACGAGTCCCTCTCAGAGATGGAGGGTGAGCCTGGACCAACCTCGGATGAAGGTGAGATGTTCCCCTCCCTGCTAAAGCAGGTGTTGGGGTACCAAGGGTCCCCCCATGCTTACACCAGCACCTGTGACTTCTGTAGGTGCCACGCTGCAGGACTGGCCCCGTGCCGGGCTGGAGGAGCCACAGGCTGGCACAGGCACTGAGAGTGAGCAGCCACAGGCCCTGGCACAAACTGTTGGGAATGCACAAGACTCAGCTGCCATAGACCAAAGATGCCCAGTGCCAGGCCGGGAGGAGCCAGCCCTGGGACAGTGAAGCCCCTGCATGTCACCACGCTGTTCCCAATAAAACCCTGCAAGCAAGTGCACCGTGCCGGGGTGCAGAGAGGACAGAGGGGCCACCAGGCTGGCGTGGATGTGCCAATGATGGCATCGCCCAATTTTCGCCATGGGGACAGCCGGGCCACCAGCATAGCCCAGGATGCCCAGAGACTGTCAGAGCCTGCAGGATGCATCCAGTGGTGTTGCAGTCCCCAGTGCCCTCTGTTGCTGTGGGCTGCAGCGCGGGAGCCGGTGACTTTAGGCAGCCAGCTAATTGTAGGAAGCGTTCCCAAGGCACTTTCACCACTCCAGCTCCTGACCCCATGGGGTGGGTACCGCTCTCTCCAGCCCCCGCCAGACACAGGCTTCCATCAGCGGGACCACGACCTTCAGCACGCAGCTCCATCCCCGCAGCTCCCTGACGGCACCAGCGTGATCCTGACACCCCAGTGGCTTTCTCCTGTGTTGCCCTCTGCTCCGGACCAAATGCATTCCTTACACCGATGTTTACGACAAAGCAAGATGCTTGTTTTGTTTTTTTTTTCTTTTTCTTTTTTTTTTTTTTATTACAAGAGCTGTGTATTTAAAAAATATACAATTTTTAATTTCTACAGCATAAACCCTGCAGGATATTTTTTGTAATAAACAGTGCAGAACCCTACCTAAACTTATTCAATAAATCATCGAGGCTCCTGGGGGACCTTCTGAGCAGGATCAGGTCGTGGGGCCTCTGCCATCACTGCTATGGTGGCATTGGGTTACCTCTTGTCCCCACTTGCTGGGACAAGGCATTTGGAAAGATGAAGAGGTAGGAGAAGGATGATGGCTCACATACAGGCATTTCTGAATGAATGCTTTTCTCCCCTCCTGGCACTGAGGATATTGGCTTTCAACAGCTCTTGTGCCAGCACCACTGGAACCAGGGTCGCTGCAGTCAGGCCAGCCTACTCAGCAGTGCTCTGGGGCACAGAGCTTCTGGTGTCCCCACATCCCTCCCCCAACCACTCTTCCCAGTGTTTTGACAGACCCATTGAAGAAACAAAGGAATGAAAGATGGGCTGGGCTCAGGAATCCACCTCCTCAGTCAGTATCCAGCATGCCCACTTCAGCATTGCCTTTGAGATCCTGCAAAACCAGACAGGTGGAGCCAGGGTGAGAAGAAACCCAGCTGTGGACACACACTAGGGCAGCTGGTGACAAGGGGTAAGGCAGAGGCTGGGGACTCGCTATAGGGATGTGAGTCCCACTGCAGGAACAAGGGACAGCCACAAGTCCATGGCTGATATGGCACTAACCTGATAGATTGTACCTGCTGGCAGAGTTCAGGGCTCGGTGCCTCATATTGGTACTGGGGTGGTCTCTCCACGAACTATAAAAGCAAAGAGGAGAGTGAGATGGGTGAGCCACAGCACCCAGAGTGCTGCCCCATGCAGGCTGAGAGCCCAATAACCCCAGGAAAACAGCTAGGATTGAGGTGTCTCTCCCTCTATTCTTCTGATTTTCTTTTATCCACATAGCTTGGAAGATGCTCCAGCAATTGTTTGCTCCCACCCAATTGTTTAGCTCAGGCTAAACCACATCTTCATCATCCGGGGAGGGATTTAAAGGCCTATGGATGTGGCATTTGGGGCTATGGTTCAGTGGTGGGCTTGGCAGTGCTGGGGAATGGTTGAACATTCATCTCATGAGCTCTTTTCCAGCCTAAGTGATTGCATGATCCCTTCATGATTCCCTCAGTGCTCCCAGATCCTCCACCATCTACATTGACACATGCATTGCACCCCCACCAGCCTGGTGAGGAAAGATCCTGGGGATAGACACCATTGGTGTGAGCACAGAGAGCCTCCCCAGGCACCCCCAGCCCTCAGGGGACCTCACCAGCTGCTTCATATTTACCGGCTCTGGAGCTCTGCACTGCTCCGGCCTGGAGCTGGGCCCAGCTCTTGTGGGGGATGCTTGCTCTTCCTCCTCCTCTTCCTCCTCCTCCTCCAGCGCCCTTCTACGCCGCAGCCTTGTCTCCCTTCTGCTCTTTGCACCCCGTGGGCTCATGCGCTCCAATCTCTTGCCCGTGCCTTTCCCCCTGCCCTTTGAGGTGCCTGGGGGATGCTGCTGCCCACTGGAGTCCTGCTCATGTTCCTCCACCAGCTTCCTCTTGTCACCCAGAGCCTTTCCATCCTTTGTCCTAGCATGAGCCAGTCCAGGCTTCAACGCATCTGGAGAGGAAGCTGTGGCACTGGAGCAGGCCTGCTCCCTGCGAGGAATCCTGCCAGGCGAGGATTGCACGCTGCCGCTGGGCAAGACTGGAAAAACTGGAGATAGAGCGGGCAGGGTGGCCTGAGAGCCCCTGGATCCCTGCGGGCCTTGATTAGTGCACAGACTATCCCAGGCTGCCTCTGCAGCTGATGCTGCCTCACTGGTGCTGATCTCCACCAGACTGGGATTGTTGTAGGAGAGGAGCAGGGAGGGAGAGGAGGTCTGTAGTGGCCCTCCCTGGGGCAAGCCCTCAGGAGAGCCCTGGCTACACGCTTCCAACAGGTCAGTGGTGTTGCTGTCAGCAGCCACATCCTTCTGGGTCTTCAGGGGAGAGTCAGGCTGAAAGGTCTTCTCTAGTAAGAGGAAAAGCATCGTCAGTTTGAGCAGAGCGCTGGTGATAGAACCTCTCCTGGCACACAAGAAGAGTGTCAGGGCTGGAATGAGGCAGGTCCAGGGCTATGGGAACACCACAGCAGTGCTTTATGGCCAGGGGAAATCAAGCCAGCAGCCAAGCTGAACTACACCCACTGAGAAGAGAGGAGCTGTCTACTGCCAGGAAGGCAGGCTGGATGCCCTGGGACATGGGGACTCACCATCTGAAGAGCTTGGGGTCAAAGACAACGAGGGCATCCTGTTCCAGGGGTTGTCCAGGGATCCCTCCAAGCTATCTGACAATGTTGGTGATGCAGCACCTGCAATGAAGAAGCTGGAAGGTTGATTTTGGCAAAGAAAGCAGCTGCCCATCCCCTGTGGGTCCCTGTGCACAATGTCTCAAAGGGAGACAGCCCTTGAGGGGAGCTCTGCAGCCCTTTCCAGCCCAAAATGTGGTGTATTCCACACAGCAGGCAGTGGAGAGGCAGACACTGCCCAAAGAGCAGGCAGGTATGAAGAAGGCCTTCTCCTACACCCTGCACTATCCAGGACAGTTCCTCCCTTCAGCTCCTCCTCTACATGGACCTTCTGCAGGTAATTCTGCAGCAAAGCTTGGTGACACCAAGCTTAGTAAGGTGACACAAACCCTTCCTGGTGCTGAGCCAGAGTTAGTGAGGAGGAGGGCAGGGCCTCATGCTCGGTGATGGCATCAAAATGATTTCCTGTGCTCCCAGCACAATCAACCAAAGCTGCAGCTTCAAGAAGCTGGAGGATTAGGACCACTCCCTGCCTGTTCAAGGTCTCCCAAAGACCTGGCCACACCAGTACCTCCTCCACTCAATCCAAGGAGATGGGCTGAATCAACTGTAGAGGAAACTAAAGGCTGGATGGGATCTGGAGCGTTCATAGGAGGCCATGAGGACGATCCAAGGGCTGGAGCACCTCTGCTATGGAGACAGGCTGAGAGAGTTGGGGTTATTAAACTTGGAGAATAGAAAGCTCCAAGAAGACCTAAGTGAACCTCCCTAAAGAGGCTCCAAGAGGGCTGAAGAAGGACTTTAGACAAGGCCATGGAGTGCCAAGACAAAGGGGAATGACTTCACACTGACAGACGGCAGGGTTAGATTAGATATTTGTAAGAAATTCTTCCCTATGAGGATGGAGAGGCCCTGGCACAAGTAGCCCAGTGAAGCTGTGGCTGCCCCAGCCCTGGAAGTGTTCAAGGCTAAGTTGGACATTGGAGCAACCTGGTCTAGTGGAATGTGCTCCTGCTTATGGCAGGGATTTGGGCTAGATAGTCTTTAAGGATCCTCCCAATTCAAATCATTCTAGAATCTGGAGATCCTGCTACTCACAGCTGGTTTGGGATACAACGCTGGGGTCTCCTGGCACTGTCCTGTCATCACTACTCTTTCCAGGAGCTGCTTGGCTTGTATCTGCAATGAAAGGGGCACTGTTGGCCATATCCTCAGCATGAGCCATACCCAGAGCGAAGGAACTCTTCTCCCCACCCTAGGGAGCCTCTCATTTCACATGCCTGAGTGCTGCACTGCCTACCTGTGTACCCTGCAGATGTTGCCTCTGAAGAATCACAAACAACTGCCCCCTCCTCAGGAGGGATCACCAGGGCGCTGACTGGGACCATGAAAACATCCTCACCTTGCTGAAATGAGACACATGACAGGGTTTTTGCTGGGCAGTCTCTCTCCAGATGCAGGAACCCAGCTGTAGCTGCCAACCCAACACCATCTCCCTCCCCAGCAAACTTCCAGCTCTGCCCACTGTCCTTCCCCTTCCTTCTCCCACCCACCAGAGCACCCCAAGCTGTCACAGCCCTGTCTCAGATGGTCCCAGCAGACAGACTGACCTCCTTCTTGCGCTCTGCCTCCCACTGGGTGATGGGAACCTCGTCCTCCACTGTCACTGGCTTCTCCTTCGATTTCTGTAAATCCAAGCATTCCTCGGCATTTTCCTTCAAAATTTCCAGCTGGTTCTGTCCTATGGCATCAATCAGCTGAGAGACAGAGGGCTCTGGAGCAAGAACACACAGACTGATCAGTGGAGGAGACAGCTGAACTCAGGAAAGCTTTATCTGCAAACACTTTTACCCTGCTGCATTGGTGACTGTCACGACACTGAAACCTGTGGGAACACCCAAAATTCTGCATTTTCTTTGCTTCTAGAAACTATCTTTCCTTTCTTCACACATCCTGGACCAGCAGCATGAGCACAAGCATCCAGTGTCCCACTCTGCTTTAGCTGTCAGCATTATCTCTTCCTACTTTGGGCTTAGAAACATAAGCTTGTGAGATCTGACCAGGTTTGTGCTACCTCTGCCTAACATGGACTAAGCTGAGGAAACCCAGGCCCCCCCCAGGCAGACAGAGTATTCCATGTC